GCCCCACCTATCTCTCTACTGCCTTGCTATTAGCCATTCAGCTTTTTATTACACCAATCTGGTACCTTAAGCAGGCAAGGTGAATCAGCAACACATATTTACATAATTAAACAAATACAACATAAACAAATGCAGCCCACCTTTACATAGTTAAACAAATGCAGCATAAACAAACGTAACACCTCTCTGCCTGATTAAAGTAATACTGCAAAACATTGGTCTGTGTGCATGGATGTCTGTGTATGTGTGAGTGCTTATGTGTCCACATGTGTATCACAGAGCATATGAGACTGGGTCTCTTGTTTGTAGCAATGTGTGCCAGGCTAGTTGGCTCACAAGCTTTGAAAAATTCTGTCTCCACTTCCCATCTGGCTATAAGAACACCAGGGTTACAGATGTGACATCTGTGCCCACCCCCTTATGTGGCTTCTGGGATTTGAACTCTGATCCTCACACCCATGAGCAAGTGCTTCATCAATTGAGCCATCTCTGTAATCCCCAGTAGATACCTTTTTAAAACTCATAACCTGGATTGGTGTCAGGGGACTTTGCTTAGCATGTTTGGCTCAATCCCCAGGTCCAGAAACAAAGACAAAAGTCACAGTTGGGATGCCTAGAGGGTTAGTTAGAATGTGTGGTTCAGAGATGTGCTTTTCTCGGTTAGGAGCTCCCTGGAGACAGGTGGGACATGTTCTCAATCAAATGTTCGCACAGTGGAACACACAGAATCGAAGGTGGACCCTCCAGAATAATATACCACAACACTGTGTTGGCTGAAAAAAACCAGACTGTTCCATTTATGGGAAGATCCAAGCTGGGCAGAATAATCCATTGCATGAGAGGCTGAGATGGGTTGGTTCTCTGTGGTGGGAAGGGTCCCCAGGGCCTCTTCCTGCCACCCGTGTTATAGCTGGGTGTGGGTGCTATTTACATAGCTGAATGCACTTGTGTGTGGAAAAAATCTATTTCAGAGATACGTGTGCTTTTCTATAACCCTGTCACACTTGAGTTTTTAAAAATGCTTTTAAAATAGGGTTGGCAGGAATGGTGCCGTATACCAGTAATCCCAGCACTTAGGAGGTGGAGACAGAATGATCAAGAATTTAAGGCCAGCCTGGGTTACAAGAGACCATTCTGAGTGATAGAATTACAGGCATGCATTACTATGTCTAGCTTCAATTCTTCAATAAACACTGAAAATAATTTACCTTAAAATGTTCAAGATTTATTAATTTTACTTTTACATGTATTTGTATTTTGACTGCATCTATGTATGGGTACCATGTGCGTGTGTGCCCACTATCCTGGGAGTTAGAAGAACTGGCAGCAGAGTTAGAGAAGGTTGTGAACCACCATGTGGGTCCTGGGAACCAAACCCGAGTCCTCTACCAGAACAAGTGCTCTTAACCTGAGTCATCTCTCCAAGCTCCTCATCTAAGTTATTTGAACTACTTTTTCCAGGCATCTGCTATGTGTTAAATAAAAATGGTTTACTTCAATGCTATTATATGTTAACAAAAAGGGATACTGTGATGCATGAATAAATTATATACTATGGTGGACGGTAGGTGCTGCAGAAAAGGAGGAGGAAGACGGAGAGTGCTTGGAGTCTGGTGAAGGGGGTAATATTATATAAGGGGGGCATGACGGGCCTCATTGACAAAGAGAGATTTAACCATGTAAGGGAAGAACCCTCTGGAAAGAGAGGGTGGTATGTGCAAAGACCCCGAGGCAAGAATGAGCCTAGCATGTGCAAAAGGGCCACTGGCCACCTTTAGGCCGGAGAAACAATACTAGAAATCAGGTCACAGGGGCGGGATACTGTATAGGCTACAGGGTATGTAGAATGGAGGTTCCTAGTTAAGAGCTGGATTTGTACTGGTGACTGAGGTGCAATAGGCTAGAGAGGTAAGCCCAAAAGTAATTGGTACCTACATGGCCTGCAACTGTGAGATCAAAAAGAGATGGGCAGAGGGTGAGCCAGATAGAGAAAAGACTGAGCCCTGGACACCCTCACACCAAGAGAAGGAGTCAGTGAAGAGACTCCATGGCCATGGAGGAAGGGGAAGGCCAGCATCCATATCCTTGAGCTACCAGAAGGGAAGAGAGCAGAACCCGTTGGCAGGCACTCTGGAAGAGGTAGAGGTGGTGTGATGGCCAGAGGGCAGGTGAGGGACCAGGTGAAAGTAGTCCCAACCCCGAGGAAGCCAAGGCCCAGAGAGGTGAGAGGCAAATCTCCTTGCCTGAGACGGCACAGCTTAAAAGAGGTGAAAGCCAGAGTCAGACACCTACCTGCCTGCCTGTAAGCACTCTTCCCTGCAAGAGTGCAGCATCCCAGTGCATCTGGGGGTCACAGAAGCGTAGAAGCGTGGTGGTAGTTTTGACAGAGACAAGCAGCACCGGGGGATAGCTGTTCCTTTCAGAAAGTAAACAAGTTTGGTGTACAGGATGTTGACACTGAGGTGGCTGAGGACAGATGGGAACATCATCTGAGATGCAAGGGGAAGTGGCCACATAAGCCTAGGAGGCTGAAACTATTGACTCATCTTCGGAGCTTCTGAGTGTAATCTATGAGCAATGAGGCAACAACCCAGGGACAGAGTTCACTGGGAGAAAGAAAGGGCTGGTAAGAAATGCTTGCCAGGAAGCAGGGAGAGCAGGAAAGAGCCATTTCCAAGAGGTGAGCATAAAGCGAGCACGAGAAGGGCTGAATCCATTTCCCATGCAGAGTCTGGCAAAGCTCAGGGAGTGGCTGCAGGAGACTGGGGGAGGGGCAGGGCTAGAGGAGAGACTGTGAGAACTGAGACATCCAACTTGCTTCTCCATCTCCTTTCAAAGCCAGGCCAATGCCAGTCACCCCTACAGAGACCCTCCTCCTCCCCCTTCTCCCCTTCTTCCTCTTTGTCTTTTCTTCTTTTGCATGTGTGTTCATATGTACATGTTCATGAGTGGGCAGGTCCACACACATGTGCATGAAAGCCTGGGGACAACCTCAGGCATTGCTCCTACATCGCCATGCCTTTAGTACCATTCACCTTAGTGGTCTAAAGTTAACCAAGTAGGCCTTTCTTCACCCCTGAGCTTTGGCATCATAAATGCAGGCCCCCATTCTTGGTTTTAAAAAGAAAAACAAAGCTGGGTGGTGGTGGTGGTGGCACACCTTTAATCCCGGCACTTGGGAGGCAGAGGCAGGCAGATCTCTGTGAGTTCAAGGCCAGCCTGGTTTACAGAATGCGTTCCAGGACAGCCCGGGCAACCCAGAGAAAACCTGTCTCAAAAACAAACAACAACAAAAAAGAAAAACAAAAACCAGTGAGCTTTTTCCTGACCCATCAAAGCTCCACCCGGATCCATAGGGCATCCATTAGTGCTTTCTTGTCTCATTTGAAAGTACCGAAGCAGCCCAAGCCTTCAGAGTCCCACATGTCTGGGAGAGACTTCCAATTCCAGTAACAGAAAACAAATCTGCTTCAGGAAAAGTGGGCTTATGTGCATCTGTGACTTGCATAAAAAGTAAATGATAGTTTGAAGGTAGGCGGTGTATCCTCAGGCAACACTTGTCTCTAGGTGGATGGGAAGGTAGGCGGTTTTCTAGCTATTTGTTTGTATTTTGGGGCTTTTTGTAAAGAACATCTAATGCTATGTGAGAAGGGGAAAAGATGAGTATATTAGCAACCTTGGAGGAAATGATTAAATGCAAAGTATTTGTGAATGAATTTATTACCTCATCTCATTCCAAAAAGTATGGAGGTATAAGAACATTCCAAGGAAGAGCTGTGACAAGAGAGTGACCAACCACCCTGAGTTGCCTGTGGTACTTAAAACATAGACTTCTAGACTCAGGGCACTTTCACTGAATAGAGACTTACCTTTCACTTCGTAATTTGCAAAGATCTCTGCCCATCCCTTTGTACCTATGAATTTCACATCACTCATTAAGGAAGATAGGAGCAGAGGATGGCCACCCCATCTTTTTCTCTGTGGTGTGTATATTTGTTAGCGTGTGTATTCACACAGGGGCGTGTTCATTCACAGAGCCAAGGTTGACTGTTATCTTTACTTATTATATTTTTATTACATTTATTTATCTATTTTGAGGTGTATGTGCAAATATCACAGTACGTGTGGAGGTCAGAGAACAACTTTCAGGAAGCTGGTTCTCTCCTTCCCCTGTGGTTCTGGGGATGGAACTCAGTTTGTAAGTCTTGGTTGGTGGATGGTGCCTTTGCTGAGCCATCTTCCTGGTCCCCCACCTTTATCTTTTGAGATAGTCTCTCAATGAAGCTGAGCATCATCAGTTCCTTTAGGCTGGCTAGCCAGTGGGCTTCAGGCATCCCCATGTCTCCCTGCACCTCACCACCACACCCACACTGCCATTGCCATGTGGGCTTACAAATGTGGACCACCATGCTGGGTTGGTTTTAAAAAAGAAATAAAGAAGCTGCTTGGATGCCTGAGATCCAAACTCAGGTCCCTGTGTTTATGCTAAAAAAAGCCATCTACTTAGCCCTTGCCTCCTCATCTTAAAGGCACCTAAGGGCCTGGGAAGCTCTTTCCTTGTATTCATTTTAGAAAAAATAGGGAGAACGATTAAGAGTATTGTTAGCCTGCGAGGGGTGGAATGCAAAGAGACATAAATGACCTTGAAGGATAATGGAAATATCGTGTCTTTATTGTGGCAATGGTTTTGAGAGGTTATGCAACTGTCAAACTCACTGAATTGTACACTTTAAATGGGTGCGGTATATATTGCACTTAAATTACCCCTGGGTTAGAAGGGGAAATGAGGCAGCCTCAGGCTCTCTAGGAGTTCACACTGGGCCATCCCTGCTCACCTATTCCCAAACATGCTCAGTCTCTTGCCCTCACCTATCCTCCACCCCATGCCCACCTCCATCCTGGGCGGATGAAGCAGCTCTCTAGTCCAGCTATCTCCCTGAGGGACAATTCTGCCTGCAGGAGGTTATCACAAGGCTAAACTGTTCTGTTTCTGTTCCCAGGACTCGAACCTCTCTGTGTATACCAATACTCCGGACCTCACACCCTGTTTCCAGAACTCCCTGCTGGCCTGGACTCCCTGCATCTATCTGTGGGCTGTCTTGCCCTGCTACCTTTTCTACCTTCGGCGCCAACAGCATGGCTACATCGTCCTCACCCACTTGTCCAGGCTCAAGACGGTCAGAGACCCAGGGTTGCCCTCTGAGTGGGGGGACCCAAAGGATTCTGCTTCTAATGAACTCCTTGCCCTCAATGGCAGCTAACCCAGTGTTCCCAGCCTGCCCCTACCCCATAGTTCTGGGTCATAGAGGCCTACTGACTTTGTCTGTAACATTTCCCCATTTTGAAAGTTGTAGAATGTTCAACAACCAAACAACAGAACTTCCCATAACCCACCATAGAAACCTGCCCCTGCCATAGTTCTGGGCCAGTGAAGCCTACTGACTGTGTGTGCAGCCCTTTCACTTTGAAAGTTGTAGAATGTTCAAACAACAGAACCTCCCATCACCTACCCTAGATGCTTCTGTAGGCCCAGGCAGGTCTGATAACTTTATAATGCTGCATGAATAGGGGCCTCTCTCCCCAGCAGGGACTGGCACTGTCATTAGTAGTGGAGATTCCAACCTGTGCATTATCCGCAGGCCCTAGGTGTTCTGCTGTGGTGTGTCTCATGGGTGGACCTCTTCTACTCCTTCCATGGCCTGATCTACGGCTCAGCCCCTGCTCCTGTCTACTTTGTCACACCCTTGGTGGTGGGAATCACGATGGTTAGTGTGGGGCCCAGGAGACCGTGGGGAGGTCCCCAGTGGGGTGTGGAGTATGCTAAGATCATGGGCTCCGAGGAAGAAGGTGGACACATGGCATTTGTCAGAGGATAAGGTGACTCCCAAAACATTTGACCACACTGGAGAGGGTGAGAGCAGACCTAGATGTGTGTGCTTTGGCCAAGCCTTCCCTGCCCTTCCTGCACAGCTGCTGGCCACATTGCTGATCCAGTATGAGCGGCTTCGTGGGGTGCAGTCTTCAGGGGTGCTCATTATCTTCTGGCTGCTGTGTGTGATCTGTGCCATCATCCCCTTCCGTTCCAAGATCCTCTCTGCCATAGCGCAGGTAAGAGGGTCAGACCTCCTAGGTCTGGCCCTATTCAGGAGCATGACTTCAAGGATCAAAGTCACTGCTGGTTCTAGGTTTCTCCTCAATCCCAGGATTTCCTCTCTTCAGCACCTTCTATGCTGAAGGAGGTCTGAGCAATGCCTGGAAGTAGGTTAAAGATCCCACCGTGGCTATGTGCTCCTGGGAGTGCTACTGGGTTGGAGGAAGGGGAGAACAATTCTGCAACTACCATGCCCAAGTTCAGTATCTAATGGGGATGCCAGTGTCTGTCGTGAGCATCTATGCAGGTGTGCATGAAGTCCCATTTGTTTGTTTTTTCTTCCCACACGCTTCAGTGAGGCTTTGCTCTTCGGTGGTGGGTGGGGTGGAGCACTGACAGACAGGTGGTCCCCATCTCCCTCTCTCGGGAGGACACAGGCAAGGAGCCAGCTGCTGATTTCTGTATCATCACAATGCCACGTACCCACCCCCAACGTCACAACACTTCCCTGCCAGCCTCTCAGCATTCTCTGAGTGTGCCAGAGGAGCCTGACAGCCAGGGCGCCAAGCTGCAGGCCAGCCTTCCCACGAGCTTCTGAGGTCCCTGTCCACTCTCCCCCAGGGCAAGATCTCAGATCCCTTCCGCTTCACTACTTTCTACATGTACTTCGCACTGGTGCTCTGTTCCCTCATCCTGTCCTGCTTCAAGGAGAAGCTGCCTTTGTTCTCTCCAAAGAATGTCGACCCTGTGAGTTTGCCGTGGAGGGGGGGGTACAGGGACATCAGCATTTGTATCAGCAGCCCCATCCCTTCAATCTCACCCAAAATGGGGGATGCCACTTCCACAGCTTGTGAACAGGCTGATGGTAAGAATGGTCTCCCTGCCCCTCCTGAGTGTTGAGATCCTGGGGGACACACCTGATCCCTTTGTCTCCTTCCAGAATCCTTGCCCAGAAGCCAGTGCTGGCTTTCTCTCCCGCCTGACTTTCTGGTGGTTCACAAAGTGAGTTGACTTTTGCCCTAGCTTACTTACCCCTTTCTCCACGCTGCCACCCCAATAACTGGATGGGCAGACCAGGGTGGGCAAAAGTGGCTATTTGGGTGGGGAGTTGAGTGTGGAGGCTGAGCCTGGACCAGTCTAGCTCCCAGGCTGCTGGCCATCCCTGCATCTGGCAGGCCACAGGGACAGGCGCAGAAGGCTGCAAGGAGACCATAATTAGCTCTGAGCTCTTCCGTTTGGGATGAGCTTCCAGCTTGTCATCTCCTTGACTGCCCCTCAGAGTGACTTGAGGGGGATAATTGTGTCTGTGACCTGGGTGACAGCTTATTAACCATACACACCTGAGGCTGACCTGAATCCCTCCTGCCTTGCACACATGTGCTCAGGCTTAACCAGAATGGATTTCATCACAGGGCCTTAGACAGAGCATCTGGGGACATATAGGAGAGAGGCAGCTAACTATCTGCAGCATGTTCACCGTGATGATGACTATGAGGGCTGCAATTAAGGCAACAAAGATACCTTAGGCACTAGATATACCAGGTCCTGTTCTAGGCTTCTAAATTCTGACCCTGTGTGGGGACTCCTCCTCCTTCCTCCAGGCTGGCCATCCTTGGCTACCGACGTCCCCTGGAGGAGCAGGACCTCTGGACTCTGGGTGAGGAGGACTGCTCTCACAAGTTGGTCCAGCGGCTACTGGAAGAATGGCAAAAGCAGCAGAAGCAAACATCAGGGTGAGATGCATTGCCAATCCTAACTTCTCAGGGCCCTGGCCCCTCCACTCCCCAGTCACCCGTGGCACAACTGGAACACCCGGGGTGCGCAGGCAGGAGTGGGGAAAACACCAAGCACTGGGGATGTCTCAGCCGTTTCAGAATGCTGCAGGTAGGAGCAAGGCCTGGGTGGGGCCTGTCCTCCCTGGTTTGGCTGAGGATAGGGGGATGCTGATGCCTGTGTACCATTCAGTGTATCCTAGGCACAGCTATTAGCATACAGAGCACCTCATTCACTTTCTCAGCAGCCAAACAGAGTTCATTCTATGGTTCCCTTGACTCTGACAGGGGCACTGAAGCTTAGAGGTTTAAAGATACAGCCAACAGCCTCTCCCTGCTGACAGAGCAATAATCCACACCCTAGCCCAGAGGCCCTAATCGGATCTCTGTTCTGCTGTGTCTGATTTGAATCGGAAATTCAGGGGTTTTCCTAGGGAGGGCAGGAAAAGCCCTCTCAATACTGCCTCTCTTGTCTGGGGGCCTGGATGAGAGAGCCTGAGGCCGTGAGCCTTTGAGATGGCAGCCTCCTATCTAGGACCCACGGCCAAGCCCTTTTCCCTCTTGCTCACAACCCAGGATTTAGAAGTCAATGCTTGGTCAGTCCAGAGCCACTGGTGAGCATTAGGTGTTGGTGGGACAAGGAAAAGGCTTACATAGTGGCTTCCCAGTGTCCCCATCACTGTCTCTATCCCCTCCCTGTTCCGATGCTCTAAGCCTAAGCCCCCTGCTGCACCTGCTTGGCTCTCTCATGTCTCAGGGTCCTTGCTGAAGCAAGCTCTGGGAGGCAGGAAGAGGGCCACAGACCTTCTGAGCTGGGTACATAGCTCTCCTTTCAGAAAGCACCGCCTGGTACCTGAAGACAGCCATCTGGAGAATGGTGTTGTCTGTCCTCCTTCCAGTTCGGAAAGCCAAGAGAAAAGCTACCACCTCTTCCTCCTCTTCTTCTCCCTCTTACCTGCCCAGCCTAGACTGGCCCTTAGCCTCCTGGAACCAGGTGCCCATTCCCACCCACTGTTGTTTATTTCCCAAACAGGCCCCAGGCTGCAGCATTTGAGCAAAAGACCTCAGGAGAGGATGAAGTCCTACTGAGGGCCAGACCCAAGTCCCAGAAGCCTTCCTTTCTGTGGGCTTTGGTGAGAACCTTCACTTCCAGCTTGCTCCTGGGTGCCTGCTTCAAGCTGATCGAGGACCTGCTCTCCTTCATCAACCCGCAGCTACTCAGGTCTCACCACATTCCCTCTTGCTGTAGCCCACTCCTGGGTGGTGGGATGGCTGGCTGCCTCAGACCAGGAACTGAAGAACTTTCTCTGCTTTCTGGGTGACCCTTGGTCAATGACATTGCTTCTGTATCTCACTTTCTCATTCCAAGTCCACATACATCTGCACATATCATGTGCCTGTCAATCATGTGTCTCCCTTTAACCTTGTTCAGGAGTCCGCCGGGAAAGTACCCAGATTTCCTTTCTTACAAGCATGAGGGTAGACACTCAGGTGAAGCACACAGATGATAGGACATGGCAGATGTGAGTTCAGGGCTCTGAAGTCCACCTATAGAGTTCTTTCCAGTTCTGCCAGACTCTGCCATCTGTCACAGGAGAGGTTTGGACTGGAGGGAGCTCCCAGATGACAGGGTGAGATACGGAGTTGAGCCCTGCATGGATTCTGCTCTTTGGTCACATTCATCAATTCAACAAACATTCATGAAGCACTACCATAGCCGTCCCCTAGATTTGCAAATTAATTACGGTAGTCTCGGGCCACTGTAGGAGATGCCAAAGGTAATTCAGGAAGAGTATAATGGGTCACAGGGCCTGGAAGAGCCTGGGGATTCTAGGAAGTCAGCCTGCCAGGTCAAAGAACATGTGTCAGGTCAGAAGGTTATCACTGAAGAAATAAGCAAGTAACGAGGAGAAGAAAGTGCAGCCAGCTGAGTCACAAAGGTTGAGGCAGCATGACTGGAGAAATCTACCCACAGGTGGGGCAAGGGTGAGGAGAAGAGGAAGCCAGGGAAGGGCATCTTGTTTACATTTCCAAAGGCTGTCCCTGCCCCAGTGTGGGATAGGTAAGGCAGAGTAGCAAGATGCAGGTAGGCCAAGTAAGTCAGAGGGCAGCACAAGCCAGGAGTGAGGCAAGGATCTAGGAGCTACACTGTCAAATCAGCTGAGTTCTTGCCTGTGCCACTGAGGGGCCATGGACCTTTCCCTGATTGGTGATTTCAGAGGAGAAAGAGGCTGAGGCACAGGGCTAGGTGATGGCCAGGTGGGTCCTCCAAGAGGATTCCTCTCAGTGGGGGTCCAGAGCCCCATACATGGGGCTCAATTGTCCTCAGTCTGTGTGAGGGAGGGGCCTGAGCCTCCAATTCAGCCAGTGGTCTGTCCTTGTCTGTCAGAAGAGCCACAGCTGTCCTGACAAGGACAGAGACTGGCTTGATTAGAGGTCCAGAGCTGGAGACACAAGATGAACACAGAGAGAGAGCTTCTGGGAGAAAGAGAGGCTTCCAAGTACATAAAAATAACCCACAAACTCCATCCCAGGAGGACTACATGAAGTTGGTTAGCAACTTTACCATGACTGGGGTCTGGGCCAGAGGGGAAGGCCCCAGAGCACTGGAGAGTGTCCACAATGAAATCAAAGTCTCAAAATGTGCTGCAAAGACACCTGTCAGACAAAATGTTCTGACAAGTTATCATTGTGCGGGGCAACTTGACACAATAGAAATTATTCCTTTAGTCCTGCCCCACTGTCCAAAATCAAGGTGTGTTGACAGGATTGGTGAGGTTTTTTGTTGTTCTTGTTGTTGTTGTTGTTGCTGTTGTTTTGGTTATTTCAGATGAGGTTTCTCTGTGTAGGCCCTGGCTGTCCTGAAACTAGCTCTGTAGACTAAGCTGGCCTCAAGCTCACAGAGATCTGCCTGCCTCTGCCTCCCAAGTGCTAGGATCAAAGGCATTGGCTACCTAGACTGGCTGGGATTGGTGGGGTGTTTTGGTTTATTTGTTTTTTGTTTTTTCTTTTCTTTTTTGGCATGTATCACTGACCATTATGGAACTGGCCTTAAATTCATAGAGATCAGCCTGCCCTGCCTCCTGAGTGCTGGGATTAAAAATATGCACCACTACACATGGATCAGTTCATGTATGTTTTTGAGATTGAGTCTTGCTTTGGGGCTCAGACTTGCATTAACTGATGGTTCTCCTGCTTCAGCCTTTTAGGGACTGGAACTCAGAAAAAAAAAAATCTCAGTTTTTTTTTCTGAAGACTCTAAATGAGCATTTCCTCTGAGCCTGTCTTAGCTTTGGTGGTTGTCAGCAGTCCTTGGTGTTCCTGACATGAAAATTCATCACTCAGATCTCTGCATCTATCACATCCCCCCCCATGTGTGTGTGTGTGTGTGTGTGTGTGTGAGAGAGAGAGAGAGAGAGAGAGAGAGTGCACATGCGCACTTGAGTGTGCAGATCTCCTATTCTTCTCTAAAGACAACAGTCCCTGAATTAGGACCAACCCTACTCCAGCAGGACTTCATCTTAACTGATACAGAGACTCTATGTCCACATGGAGTCACATTCATGGGTACCACAGGGTCAAGACACAATTCAGTCCCCAGGAGAACAGCAAGCTTGACTCTGATGGTGGCTGATGAGGTCTAGAGGAGGTTTGTTCTATGACACGATGAGTGTTGATCATGTTCATTAGTGAAGGCACAGTGCTTCCAGAAGAGGTGACAATAATGAACACCATACAAAAATGGGATCCAATCTTCCTGTTGTGGAAGATTCGACAGGAAGATTTGATCCTGGGCTCAGGAAGACAAGATAGGGCTTGGAAAGCCAGAATCACTCCTTTTATAGGACAAAAACAAAGGATGCGCTTGAGGAAGCTTGGAAGTGGGGTGTCAGGGAATTATCAATTGGCAGTTCATTGGAAAGATAGGGGGCTGCTGAGAGCGGCAAGGAGTGGCAACAGACCAGGAGATAAGAGGAGAAAGATGAATGGAGTCATATAGGACAGGTGGACAAGGACCCCAATAAGGACAGCAAGTAGCACTGGGGGCCAAGTGTTGGGAAGGATTTGTGGAATGAAAGTCCTTGTGGCCTATGGTGGGTTCTAGAACCCCCAGTAACCCAGAAGAATGAGTAGGAAGGTCTAACCCAGTGGTTCTCAACCGTCCTAATGCTATGACTCTCTAATACAGTTCCTCTTGTTGTGGTGACCTCCAACCATAAAATCATCTTCATTGCTGCTTTGCAACTGTGCTTTTGCTACTATTATGAATCGTAATGTAAATATTTTTTGGAGATAGAAGTTTGGCAAAGGTTGGGAGCCACAGCTGTAGTCTGTCAAAATGTGCCTCTTCTGCCTGCCATGGCATTCACGGAGGTGAGGACAAGCAGACAAGGCTGGTGATAAGAGCTGTTGCATGGCAGACAGGCTGAAGAGCACACAGGCCTCATGCCCCATCTCCCCCTGGCAGCATACTCATCAGGTTTGTTTCTGACCCCATGGCTCCCACCTGGTGGGGCTTCCTGCTGGCCGGGCTGATGTTTGTGAGCTCCATGATGCAGACACTGATTTTACACCAGTATTATCACTGCAACTTTTTGATGGCCTTGAGACTGCGGACTGCGATCATAGGTGTCATCTACAGGAAGGTCAGCCAGAGTGAGACACCCACTGGGAGAGATCCATTCTGGGCTGCTTGGGAGAAGCTTGTGGGCTTGGTCCCACCCTTTGCTATTCATCTGCAGGCTCTGGTCATCACCAACTCAGTCAAACGTGAATCCACTGTGGGAGAAATGGTCAACCTCATGTCAGTGGATGCTCAGCGCTTCATGGATGTTTCCCCCTTCATCAACCTCCTGTGGTCAGCACCCTTGCAGGTCGTCTTGGCTATCTACTTCCTCTGGCAGGTAACTCTTGAACCTTGTCCTCTGTTCCCTTCCTCTGACTGCATCTATTGGTGCTGATAGATGATGAGTTGTGTCATGCCCATGAAACCACCCCTAGGGAACTTGGTCATTCACTCTTCCTTTCCTAGGCTGCGTTCCATCCCTCAAAAGCCAGGGGCAATTGGTACTCTGAGGCAAGGTGGATGTGGCTATAGCTATCACTGTTGATCTGTTTGTATTATCTTCCCTGTGCATGCATACAGCCTCCTCCTTCGCTGCCCCTTTTTCCACCATGCCGTCTCCTTTCTTCCTTTTTAAATCTTCTTTTCAGTACTGGGATTAAACCCAGAGCCTTGTGCATGTTAGCATACACTCTGCTGCTAACACCTCTACCCTTTGAATTTTGAATTTTTTACTTCAAGATGGGGCCTTTGCTTAATTGCTCAGGCTGGTCTTGAAATCACTGGGTAGCCCAGGAAAACCTCAAACCATCTAAACAACAGAATCCCAGACCTGTGCCAGAGCGACCAGTTTGGACATCCCTCTCTCTGTGTGCCACTGGCCATCTGTGCTCACCATCTGATAGCTGGAAGCTTCTGCTAGTGTAGTTGTGGCTTACTGTTTCCTTCCTGAATGATGTCTTTTGCCTCCTGCCCATCATACTTCAAGTCAGCAAGGTTCTGTTGAGTGCTCTCTGCATACCTTGGTTATTGAAAGTTCTGTCTTACCTAATCCTCCACTTGTGTGCCTCCTCAGATACTGGGTCCATCAGCCCTGGCTGGAGTGGCTGTCATAGTCTCGCTGATACCACTCAATGGAGCTGTGTCCATGAAGATGCGGACCTACCAGGTGGGTGCTCCTAAAGGCATCTGCTTTAGATGGGACACCAGCCCCTGTCGGGGGTGGGGGGTGCCACTGAGAGCCAGTGTTCACCTTCTATGCTCAGGGATTCTCCACTCACTGTACTGAATGAGGATGGTCACAGTCCCTTGTGAAAATCTTAACTTCTCGATCCTCATCACTGTAATGACAGTCTTATTTCACAGCAGAAACACCAAGGCCCAGAGTAGCTGTGGCAGTTCAGAGACAGGTAGAGCAGGAACTCAAACTTGTTCCCACTTCATGGTGCTAAAGGGTTGATAACCAGACAATGAGTTATTCATCTGCAAATGACACTGAAGTCTTCAGAAGCTCGCTCTTAGCATAGAATAAATGACAAACCATCTGAGACCACTGTCTTCGTCACTGTTCCATTGCTGTGAAGAGACACCATGACCAAGTCAACTCTTATAAAAGGATACATTTAATTGGGGCTTGCTTACAGTTGCAGAGGTTTAGTCTGTTATCAGCATGGTGGAGAGCATCATGCCAGGATGCATGGCAGACATGGTGCTGGAGAAGTAGTTGAGAGCTACATTCTCATCCACAGCGAGAGAGACTGGACTTGGCATAGGCTTCTGAAACCTCAAAGCCCACCCTAAGGGATACACTTTCTCCAACAATGCCATACTTCCTAATCCTTCAAATAATGCACACCCTGGTGACTAAGTATTCAAATACATGAGCCTATGGGGGCCATTCTCATTCCAACCAGCACAACCACCCTCTAGGTTCCCTTGGACTTCACATGTCTCTATTTCTAATCCTCATGGGATGACCACATTCCAGACATGCTGGCTTTTCCTTTCTTTAAGAACAAACTCTGTGCACCTCTGGGCCATTACATGCTCCCTTCCCTCTTCCTGGAATATTCTTCGCTCTTCTTGTATCTTTAACACCTTTCTTTCTTTTACCTCTCAGCAGAAACATCACTTCCTTCAGAGACCCACTTTGATTCCCCCAAGATCATTTCCCTGAGGCTACCTGTTTCTCCCCTTATTGCATCCTGTTCTTTCCCTTTGGAACATACACAATGATTTATAATTAAGCATCTCTTTTGGTAATTACTTTTCTGTTTGTTTGTTTGTTTCAAGACAGGGTCTCTCTATGTAGTCCTAGAACTCACTATGTAGATCACTCTGGCCTTGAACTCACAGAAATCCATCTGCCTCTGCCTCCCAAGGGCTGGCATTTAAGGCATGCACCACCTTGCCTGATCTAGCATTTACATTTTATTGTCTGCCGCTGCCATCAGACTGTCAGCTGTATGATGGCCAGGGCTGCATCTGAATTGCTCATCATGATATCCTTCATTTGGCAAATGGCTTGATACACTCAGCAAACAAGAGCTAAGGGGATAACTCACTGTGGTATGCCAGGCCTTAGATTAGGATCTGGGTGAGCAGAAAAATAAACAATTGCTGCCCCTGGGAGGCTCCAAGTTGGATTCATCTGGGACATTGTGTAAAGAGGTGGGGATGGAAATGAAAGGCAAGGGCAGAGGATGCTACCTGGTGAGGTCAGTGATGGTGACACCAAAATGAAGCTGTACTTCTGAGTCAGAGGACACAGATTTTGGGGGACAAGGGTCTGGGTATTTGAGGTGGTATGGGGAGATACTCTGAGCGACATGCAATGGCTACAGTAGATGAGATGGTATTGGAGGTTGGGTAGGAGGTCAGGGGAGGGGGAAGGGTGTACCATTGATCTTTTCGGTACAGGTACAGCAAATGAAGTTCAAGGACTCTCGCATCAAACTGATGAATGAGATCCTGAATGGCATCAAAGTGCTGAAGCTGTATGCTTGGGAGCCCAGCTTCTTGGAGCAGGTTGAGAGCATCAGGATGGATGAGCTCCAGCTGCTACGCAAGGGTGCCTACCTGCAGGCTATTTCCACCTTCATCTGGGTCTGCACCCCTTTTCTGGTGAGGCTCTCCACTGGTATGGGATTCCGGGCTGTTGCTAGGCCAGCCCATGTCTTGAGGTTCCCTGGGGCCTAACAGATTCCACCATGACGCTCATTCCCATGCTACCCAGGTGACCGTGATCACCCTTGGAGTGTATGTGATCGTGGATGAGAACAATGTGCTGGATGCCGAGAAGGCCTTTGTGTCCTTGTCTTTGTTCAACATCTTAAAGATCCCCCTCAATATGCTGCCTCAGTTAATCAGTGGCCTAACCCAGGTACCCCAGGGCAAGCAGGGTGTCTGTTGTACTTAGAATATGTGGGAAAGCCAGGCAGGGGTCACTTCGGATCACAGATAATCAAATCAGGAGAGTTCCTGGGGCCAAGGAAAGCCATGGAGGTTAAGTGGGTGGTTTGGAGTCACGGAGCCTCCTTGTAGCAATCTGGACCTTATCTTCAGGCAGTGGGAGCCGTGTAAGACTTGGTTATAGGAGGGGCCCCCAGCATGAGTGAGTGGGTCCTCAGGAGGTCCTACTTAGCTCCAGAAGTTGGGCACCTGTAGAGCAACAGTAAAACTAATCTATACCTTCCTGCAGGCCAGTGTGTCTCTGAAACGGATCCAGGATTTCCTGAACCAAGATGAACTTGACCCCCAGTGTGTGGAAAGAAAGACTATCTCCCCAGGTCCCCAACACCCTTACTCTAGTGCAATCTTGCTCCAAGCTTTCTAAGATTCCACCTGGGACACCCTTTCTTTTCTGAACTCTACAGCCCTGCTCCTAATCTTTACCCCTCCCCAGACTCCTCAAGCCCCTCCCTCTGACTTTGCTCCAGGGATCTTCTCCCTTGCCTACACTCCTCCCAGGCCTCCTCGTGGTCTTCCAATGTCCTAGACTTGAAATGACATCATGCATCTTTGTCCTCCTAGGCTATGCCATCACTGTGCACAATGGCACCTTCACGTGGATCCATGACCTGCCGCCTACCCTGCACAGGTACCACCAGCTTCTCTCACTCATTTGATATGCAACAACACATTGATATGCTCAAACACATTCCTTGTCTCTGTCTTTGACAGGAAATGCAAGAAGAACCTGCTTTTGACAGGGTGGTGTCAAGGAGGGAGGAGGGCTTGGGTCTGCAGGTGGAAGGCTTAAACCAAACCCAAGTCTTGCCACTGACCACTCCTCTTTGCTCTTAGCCTAAACTTTCAAATTCCGAAGGGGGCACTGGTGGCTGTGGTGGGGCCTGTGGGCTGTGGGAAGTCTTCCCTGGTGTCTGCCTTACTGGGAGAGATGGAGAAGCTGGAAGGCACAGTGTGTGTGAAGGTGAGATGTGCAGGGGGCTCCTGGGAAGGCATAAAGTCTGGGTGGCCTTAGGCAAACCCTAAGGCAGCCTCTCCATTGGCCAGGGGTCCGTGGCCTATGTACCCCAGCAGGCGTGGATCCAGAACTGCACACTTCAGGAAAATGTGCTATTTGGTCAACCCATGAATCCCAAGCGCTACCAACAGGCTCTGGAGACCTGTGCCCTGATGACTGACCTGGATGTACTTCCTGGTGGGGACCAGACAGAGATTGGAGAGAAGGTACAGAGCCACCTTTTTGTCCCCGAGAAGCCAGCTCATGAGGTTGCCAACCTGAACCCAACCTCAGATTCCTATACTCACTCGCAAGTTTGTGTCCCATCACACCCACTCTATTCCAGGGAGGATGACTCATGGACAGATAGGGACCACAGAATGCCCCAGGGTCATGACAAAGGCCTAGAAAAAGAGCAGGAGGCAGGGGTAGAAGGGTCTGTATGAGAAGTAGCATCGCTTTTGAGTTGAATCTCAGTGACTGAGAAAGAGAAGATCATCCTTCATTGATTTAGCCGCCAGATGTTTTATTAAGCATCTACTATAGGCCAAGGAATATTCTATGGTGTTGAATGCACCATGATAAAAATTTCTGCTTTTACAAAACTTACATTCTAGCAGAGGAAAGAAAGACAATAAGCAAAATAAGCAAAATATATATTAGATAAACCTAAAGCGGGGAGATAAAGCAGCTCAGGAATATGAGAACTCGTGCAGGGCTGTTTTGTTAGAGAGGTTTTTCACTGAGAAGTATAGACCTGAACAGAAGGAACAGCCCTGCAGAGGACCATGAGCCCTGGCTATCTAGAGACCTAGACAAGAGTCATTTACGGTAGAACAGATAGTTCAAAGCCTCAGGCAGCTGTGTGACTGGGCATTAGCCCAAAAAGGAGAGCAATGTGGTTGAAGTAGAGTGATCCAAGAGTCAGGAGAAGAAAGGGAAGCGAGGGAGGTCATTAGACAACCCTGCAGGCCATTTGAAAATTGTAGTTTTTTACCCAGAGTGACAGGAGGCCCTTGGAGTGTGGCCTAGCAGCAGTGGGTGGTCACAGATAGGCTTTTGGTACACTTTGACCTGAGTGCTGCCTCCCGACCCCCATCCCCCACCCTAGTTGTCTTAGAACTCATTATGTAGATCAGGAGATCAGGCTGGCCTTGAACTCTCACATATGTAACAAGATAAATAAAAGACCCAGAGACTGATATTGGGGTTCAGGCTTTAAGCTGAAAATCAGAAAAACAAAGTAGTCAGCCACTAGCTCTTACTCTACCTCAGTTCAGATCAAAGGAGCCATCCTCAAACTGCTCCTGATTTCACTGCTCCTCAGATTCACTTAGACTGCAATGGTCTCTTCAGTGTAGCTAGAGACTTCAATGTCTTCCTATCCTCAATGTGGCTGGAGAATGAATGCCAGCTCTGAGACCCTATTCCTGTCTTAAATATCTCTCATGAGTCCTGGGATTAAAGACGTGTGATTCCAAGTCTTGAAATCATCTTTGTGTGAGCTGTTTCTCTTTAGAACTGGATCAATTTCATGTAGCTCAGTATGGCCTTGAACTAACAGAGATCTATCTACCTCTTAATCCTAAATCTTGTGATTAAAGGTATGTTCCTGGCTTCTTTGGCTTGTGGCTGACTTTGATTTCTGAATCCTTGGGCAAGCTTTAATAAATCATAAATGATATATCACTGCACAGATCCACCTTTCTCTTTCTCCCAAGTGCTGGGGTAAAGATGTGTACCACAATGCCCGGTTTGATTAGGGCCTTTAAATGATAAAACATGTCTCTCTGGTGGAAGTTTGGTTTTTCTTTGTTGGGTTTGCATTTTGTTACATGAATTTGTGTGAGAAGTGCATGGGAAAACACACAATTGCTACTATGTGTGTGGAGGCCATTTTTAATCTTTTCACCTTTGGGTACAGGGAATTGAACTCAGATCCTCAGAATTGGTAGCAAGCACCTTTCTCTGTAGAGCTATCTTGCCATTCCTTGCTTTTATTTTTAAAGTATTTCTTTTTCTTACATGTGATAAAGTTCACCTAACATTAAATGTACCACCTTCACTATCTTTTCTGTGCCCCGTTCAATTATGTTATGTGCATTTACAATGTTATGCAATAATTGCTAGAGCCTGGACACTCCAAATGTCACTCCAACCTTGTTGTCTGACCCTATCGAACAGCTTTCAGTTTCTCTCCCCAAACCTCTAGCAATCACCACTTGTTCTTCAGAATCTAGCTACGCTAGACACCAGAGTGTAGATTTGCATAATATTTGCTTGTTTGTGTCTAGCTGGTTTCAGCTGGCATAATGTCCTCAGAGTTCATCCATGTCATAGCACACGTCAGCATTTCCTACCTTCTCAAGGCTAAATAATATTCCAATCTGTGGATATCCCGCCTGTTGTTTTCCCTTTCATCTTTCATGACACTGGCACTGAGCAGGGCAGCCAACTAGGCAGGGCTGCCCCAGAGGAGTCTAAGAGCCAACACTCTACTTCCTCCTACAACTTTGTGGAGACAGCCAAGTATCCTATGAAATAGAGATTCAGAGGTCAGTCTTACTGAGTGACAATGAATAGGCTGTTGTCGCCCGCCCATGGGCCGGTCTGATTCCTTCCATCTACCACCACACATCATCTACCTTCTCCTCCCTCTAGGGCATTAACCTCTCCGGAGGCCAGCGACAACGGGTGAGTTTGGCCCGAGCTGTTTATAGCAATGCCAACATTTTTTTGCTGGATGACCCGCTGTCAGCTGTGGACTCTCATGTGGCTAAACATATTTTTGACCAAGTGATTGGACCAGAAGGTGTGCTGGCAGGCAAGGTGAGGCCACAAGAGGGTGGGAGCAAAAGATGAGATTTGGTCCTGGGAGAGAACAGATGGGAGGTGGGAGGGGGATGGGAAGACCAGGGGATGTAGGAACCTAAGGAAGGAGGATGTCATCTAGGAAAACCTAGAGATGCTGAGCAGGCTCTGGCTGGTATGGGATAAGTTGTGGATATGCCTGAGGACTCCTCATGTTTACCACATGGCATGCTTGAGGTATGCCTAAGGATGCTGCAGCTCAGAGCCTGCTGTTTTCTCCACAGACTCGGGTGCTGGTAACCCATGGCATCAGCTTCCTGTCCCAGACGGACTTTATCATCGTGCTTGCTGATGGACAGGTGTCTGAGATGGGCCACTACTCTGCCCTCCTGCAACATAATGGCTGCTTTGCCAACTTCCTCCGAAACTATGCACTAGATGAAGACCAGGAGGACCTTGAAGGTGGCAAAAATTAGTACCCGCCACCCCTGACCTTCCCAACTCCCATCCTTTCCGGCATCCACTTTGTCTGGGGCTTCTAAGTAATTCTGGACTGGCCTAGTATGGTGCTGAGGATCTAGTTCTGGGAAACTGGAGCTACCTGTGTGATGCCCTCAGATCTTACCTTCTCTCCCCTGACTGTGGGACCCTGCATCAGCAGTGTGGGTCTCAGTGTCTGTTGTCCCATTTGTTAAAAGGACACATGAGCTCAGATCCAGAGTGTGTAGTGAAGCCGTTTTATGATTGAATTGTTTAGTATGCATGCAAGTACTTGGCAAAATCATTTATTTACCAACGAGAGTTGTTAAATGATTACTGTGATCCAGAACTGTTCCAGATAGTAGACTAACAAAAGGCCCCTGTCCTCAATGAAGCCCAGGGCAGTATCTGAACTCACAAAAGCCCTGCTCCTCACTTTTTCCCCCTCACACAGAGCTCCCTACCTCAGCACTCTTAGTTGGCTCTTGGCCTTCTCTTGGGCACACCTGCCTGCTGCTGTGTATACGGCCAACCTACATGAGTGTTCCCTAAGTGCTATGCCCTTGAGAAGCCCTGGACACACATCCTTCCCTTAATCCTCACAGTGACTGGTAGTGCCATGAGCTACCCATGATTATTACCTTTTGGCTATGCCTGCCTAAGACCCTGCTGCCATCAAGGAAGTAGGATTTAGCATAGCCCAGGCTGTCCTAGAACTCACTCTGTAGACCAGGCTGGCCTTGAACTCATAGAGATCCACCTGCCTCTGCCTCCCGAGTCCTGGGATTAAAGACAAACCCTATCACTTCACAGCTTCCTTCTGGCTGTCTTTTCAAACCTGCTCCTTGCCTCCTTGCTAGTACATCCAACCCTCCCACTGGCATAGAGGATGGGGTCTGGAGGGCTGTAGATGAAACAATCAGCCTCTGTGACTTTCCTTCCCTGCTGTAGCCTTTCAAGATGCAGACGAGGAGGTGTTGTTGTTTGAAGACACACTCAGCACCCACACAGACCTGACAGACAATGAGCCGTCCATGTATGAGGTCCGCAAGCAGTTCATGAGGTAAACTCCCAAGGGTTCTCAAGTCCCCAGAAGTCTACATCAGCACCACCAAGCCCCAGCAGGTAGAATACAAGTGGACATTCTGGGAGTGTGTCCATGGTCTCCTGCCTGGGTCTGACCAGCCGCTTCCACAGACAGATGAGTAGCATGTCTTCAGAAGGGGAAAACCAGAACCGGCCTGTGTCCAAGAGACACATGAATCCATCAGAGAAGAAGATGCAGGTGACAAAGGCAAAGGAGGCTGGTGCACTAATCAAAGACGAGACAGTAGAGACAAGCAATGTGAGTAGGGAGGGCATGGGCTGGAGATGATGATCAGGTCCCAAGGGCTTGTAGAGATTGCGTGGCCACTCTTTACAGGTGAAGATGAGCGTGTTCTGGGATTATGCCAAGTCTGTGGGACTCCACACCACGATAGCTATCTGCCTCCTGTATGCTGGCCAAAGTGCGGCTTCCATCGGAGCCAATATATGGCTCAGCGCCTGGGCCAATGATACAGTGGTAGATGGCCGGCAGAACAACACCTCCCAAAGGCTAGGTGTCTATGCTACCCTAGGAATACTACAAGGTGAACATATTGGGGTGCCTGGAAGAGTCTCCCTCATCCTTCTCTCCTTTGCCTATTCCCCAACCACAGAACCATATCCCTGTCTGAGAGCCTCCCTAATTCCACCTAGCCATCCCATGTCTCATTCTGCCCTTCTTTTCTGGCCTCGTCCTGGTGATAATTGACTCATCTTCTACCTCTCCCAACAAGGGATCCTGGTGATGCTATCAGCCTTCACCATGGTGGTTGGCAGTGTCCAGGCTGCCCGCCTGCTGCACTCAGCTCTGTTGCACAACAAGATTCGTTCGCCACAGTCCTTCTTTGACACAACACCCTCAGGCCGCATCCTCAACCGTTTCTCAAAGGACATATACGTCATCGATGAGGTTCTGGCCCCCACCATCCTCATGCTGTTCAATTCCTTCTTCACATCCATCTCCACCCTTGTGGTCATCGTGGCCAGCACACCGATCTTCATTGTGGTTGTCTTGCCTCTGGCTGTGCTCTATGGCTTTGTGCAGGTGCCAGCATGAATGGGTGGGACACAGTGGCGCTTTAGAGTGGGCTGGGGAGGGGGGAGATAGGAGGAGGTTCTGATTCTGGCCAAGCACTTTTATAAGCTAAGCTGTGACTGGATTGGATCGGGGACTTTAGTCAACTGTTTCACCTCCTTGCAACTCACTTATCTAACCTGTAAAATAGACTCTTTGAATCTAATTTATAGTGATGATGTGCAGATGAAGTGTGTGTTCATAAGCTGACAGCCGTGGGCCCCTTTCCAATTGGCTGTATTGTGTGTGTGTGTGTGTGTGTGTGTGTGTGTGTATGGTATTTGTGCACATACATGTTTGTGTGTGTACATTTGTGGAGGCCAGAGATCAATGCTGAGTGTTTTCACCAATCATTCTCCACCTTATTTTCTGGGGCAGAGTCTCTCATTGGATGCAGAGTTCACCTATCCAGCTAGGCTGACTGCCCAGTGAGCTTTAAGGGTCTGCCTATCCCTGACTCCCCGGTGTAGGGTTATAGGCGTGCACTGCCATGCCTGCATTTTGATGTGGGTGCTGGGAAATCTTAATTCAGGTCTTCATGCTTGTGAGGCATGCACTCTACTGAGTGAGACTTCTCTTCAGCCCCTACACCTATTGGTATTATTTAAGTCATTATAAACAGTTTGGGAAATGCTGTTCCTTGTGTGCATACTTAGACATATATGTCACCTGAGTTGCTGAGCATTCAGAGGCAGCTCATTGGAAGGGCTCATGATCATGGGGATCTTCCTCTTCAAGGTGGTGATCAGTTCCCACAGGGGGCTGGAAGGGCAGCCCCTACATAAGAAGCCTCCTGCGTATCCCTCCTGGACAGGCCCGCTAGCTGTGACCCATAGAATACAGGCTGGGAAATAAAACCAGAACCATGGTTTTGTGGGGTTATAGCCCTTAAATGACTAGGTAGGTAGGTAGGGTAAGAGGAAATTTTTCAGAAAAAAAAAGATAGGAAATTATTTTTGCCATTATTTGACTGTGAGCACGTATCTAAGGTCTTTAAGAGGTAAAAGAACCCTCACTGGGGCTGGAGAGATGGCTCAGAGGTTTAGAGTACTGGCTACTCTTCCAGAGGTCCTGAGTTCAATTCCCAGCAACCACATGGTGGCTCACAACTATCTATAATGAGATCTGATGCCTTCTTCTGGCCTACAGGCATACACACATACAGACAGAACACTGTATACATAATAAATAAACCTTTAAAAAAAGGAACTCTCACCACTTAGGAGGTTAAACAAAACAGTGTCATGGTCTATAAAAGATGAGATAGGAGGGCATAGGGAATCAGGGAAAGCTTCATGGACGAGGTGGGCTGTCTGAGCAAAGCTGATCAAAGGGGAAGTGTATAATATATATATCTGGAATCTGTTCCCCACGGGAACATAGGAAAAGCCATCGAGGTCTTGTGGGAAGAGTAGAGCCAGTGGGAATTTTTTGAAGGAAATGCAGGACTGAGTGGGTGTTTCGACTTCCCTGACTAAAGTTCTCTTCCTGCCCACGATCAGCGCTTCTATGTGGCCACATCCCGGCAGCTGAAGCGGCTGGAATCCATCAGCCGTTCACCCATCTTCTCCCACTTTTCGGAGACAGTAACAGGCACCAGTGTCATCCGGGCCTATGGCCGACTTGAAGACTTCAAGGTCCTTAGTGATAAGAATGTGGACAACAACCAGAAGAGCTCCTACCCGTACATTGCCTCCAACCGGTTAGGAGCCCGCCTTTCCCCTACAGGTGCCCACAGGCTCTCTGTGGTTCTCAATGGGTTCCAGCACTTCCTGCCCTATTGATCCCTACAGATGGCTGGGTGTCCATGTGGAGTTCGTGGGGAACTGCGTGGTGCTCTTTGCTGCACTGTTTGCGGTGATCGAGAAAAACAGCTTGAATCCAGGGATCGTGGGTCTTTCTGTGTCCTATGCCCTGCAGGTAAGGTGGGGCCTGGGACTCTAGGCAGGGGCAGAGGACACACAGGGCTCACAAGCATCTGCTGAGTGTGTACACCTCTCTTCCACATGCCCATCAGTCCTGGCTGGGCTCCCAAAGCCCAAGATCTGTCAGCCAGGCTCAGGGAGAACCTGATGTAGGCTGGAGAGGTTTTCCTGGCAGCAAAAAGATGTGACAAGAGACATGGGGATGTAATTCATTGGTAGAGCACTTGCCTAGTATGTGCAAGGCTCTAAGTTCAAACCCTAGTGCAGGAGGAGGGAAGGAGGGAAGAAGGGAAGAAGGGAAGAAGGGAGGAAGAGAGGGAAGGAGGTGCTAAGAGCTTGGAGGAGTTTCACTGCTCTGAGATCTTGGAGAAATGACCTTGGAGCTTGGCCCATACAGAACTGCCATGTCTGGGATGTAGGTCAACCTGACTGTGGTCTGAACATGGGCCATGTGGTGCCAGACTACATGGTATGGTACACGCCTTCAGGAAAGCTACAGCTAGCCCTGTGTGTGCTTGACTTTATCACTGAAGAACCAACCAACTACAGATAGGAAACGTTCGAAAGGGCTCAAAATGACAGTGCATGCCTGGAATCCTAGCACTTAGGGGGAAGCTGAGGCAGGAGGATTGCTGTGAATCAGTACCAGCCTGACCTACATAGTGAGACCCTTCCTCAAATAAAAACCTCCCCCCAAAACAACCTGGAAAAAATTATAGAAACTTCTAGCAAAAAAAAAAAAAGCAGAAGACAAACAAGCCAACTTCACTGAGTCTCTGAACGAATGTAAATGAAGTGACATATAAGCATTGTGCTAGGTACCTTAAGTAATGCAGAGACCATTTACAGCATAAAGGAGGGGTGGGTGGGTTTCATGTGAATAATAGGCAATTTTTTTTTTATCTTATGTGAAGGACTTGAACATCTGTGGATTTAGTTATATTCCAAAGTCCCAGAACCAATCCCCTGTGGATGTGGAGGAGTAAACAGATCAGGTGACTGCAGCCTAGGATTGGGGGTCACCCTGACACCAAGCCCGTATGGTTAGAGACAACCTGCAGATGGGATTTTTGTAAAGCAGATCACATTGTCGAGGCCTCAGGTGGCTCAGATCTGAATGTATTGGTAAACAAAGAGCAATGCCGAAGGCCGGTCTGCTCGAACCTTAATGTGCGTGTGTCTCATCTGGAAACCTTGTTAAAATGTTCATTCTCATTCACAAGCTTCAGTGCTCAGCCAGAGCTCGGATTCTGCATTGCTGTCAAGGCTTCTTGGTAACACAGTACAGTCCCTGGACTGGCCACACTGCCATATTAGCATATTAGTATGTTAGGAGTGGACAGTCTTCGACCTACTGACTTCACACGCTGTGTTTTTGACAGGGTGCTCTGAGAAGTCTAATACATATTAAAGATTGAGAAGCACTGAGTGAGGCTGTCCCCCACTAACTCTGCATTGTCTCCGCCTGAGGCACAGCTATGATTAGAGGCCTAGTGAGCCCACGCCTGTAGGAATGGGTTCCACTGATCAAGAAATAAAGCCACTGCCGGGCCCCTCTCATAACACAATTCCTTTGCTCAGATAACCTTGGGTTTGAACTGGATGATACGAATGATGTCAGACTTGGAATCTAATATCATAGCCGTGGAGAGAGTCAAGGAATACTCCAAGACTGAGACTGAGGTGAGTTCCAGGACAAGCCCTGCAGCAGAGGATGCCTGGATGACCTGAGAAAGCATGCTTGGTGGCCTGTCATCACTGTGTTTCAAGGCGAGCTGTTTAAGTGGCTTCCATCCATCCATCCATCCACACAGAGAGCAGAGAGAGGAGGTAGTTCAGCTGGGGTGATCCTGGAGTAAGTGAGATTCAGAGAATGAATGGGCAAGTTTTGACAGATGAGGTGAAGTAGGAAAAAGATGAGTATTCCAGCCAAAGGAACAGAAGTGAGACAGTGTGCTTTTCCTTCCTTCCTTCCTTCCTTTCTTCCCTCCCTCCCTCTTTCCTTCCTTCCTTCCTTTCTTCCTCCCCTCCTTCCCCTCCCTCCCTCCTTCCCTCCCTCCCTCTTTCCTTCTTTCCTTCCTTCCATCCTTCCTTCCTTTTTTTGTTTTTCAAGTCAAGGTTTCTCTGTGTAGCCCTGGCTGTCCTGGAACTCACTCTGTAGACCAGGCGGTCTTGAACTCAGAGAGCCATCTGACCTTGTCCTCCCCCTACACACACACACACACACACACACACACACACACACACACACACACACACGTGCTGGGATTAAAGGCATGTGCCAACACCACCAGGCAATGTGACCATTTTTAGAGAAAAAGAATGTGTTGTCTCCTGGGTGGCACATTTCAGACCTCTTCATGCCCAGAGGCTACACCATCCCTGAGCTCTTAGTATCAAGCCCCCCAATTTTTGACCTCCGACTGTGTTCCACAGTCACAGCCCTTTGCCCTCTATGGGACGCCGGTGCCATGACCTGCCTTTGTTCCCGCAGCCATCAGTTCCTGTCTTTTTCACCTTCCCTTTGTTGCTTAGACTCTATCTGTGCTCCATGTGGCGATGCTCGATGCTCTCAACCTGTCCCTGCCCTTGCCTACAAAACCCCACCCCAAATGAGCCTACTTGTCCACATGGTACTTGCACAGAGCAGCTGATGTGCAGCTGGATGTGTGTCGCTAATGTTCCTTCATGTTCATAACCACCCTCCCTGCTTCACTTACCTAAGAACTATGTGCTCCCACTTTCAAAAATACCCCTTTGGACCATTCTCTGTCCTCTGTTCTCTGTGCTCAGCCCTCCACCCCGCCTGACCCTTCCTTCCATGAGAACTAGGTTAAAGATGTGAATTCCCTTCGCCTTCAGCTCTTGAGTGCCACTGTGGGCATCCTCTGCCTCCTTCCTTTCTCTTTGAGCTGATGTTTCCCTTCATCTTTTCAAAGTCCAGCCCCTCTGCTTCTACAAGACCAGATGCCTGCTAGACACTGTGGCTTCCTAGGCTAGGCCTCCTGTCTAGCTGCTTCTAGAAGGGACCATGATCAGGGTCCATTCTAGACACAAACAACTGCCACCCCCACTTTGCCCTGCCTCATACTGCCTCGGGGTTCAGTTCTCCTTTGTCGAGAAATCAGTTTTAAGCTGTGATCTATACAGGTTCCATCTCCTCCTTACCCTGGCCCTTGCCAGCTGCAGCCTGCTTCCCACAAAAATAGCTCACTCATGGCCTACCTGGCTCCAGTGTAAGAGCCAACATCCTTCCTCTCTTCCGCTTGGGACTTCTGTGACAAAAGCCCTAGGTCTGCTGGTGGACCTTCACTGAACCCCCACCCACTTACTTGTTCCCCATCCCAAGCCAACATGGCCTCCATGCTTCCCCCAGCATACACCTGATTCCTGAGATATCTGTGTCTCCAAGTCTCTCTACATCCAACATGTCCTGTGGATGCACACAGTCGCTTTATCCCAAATGATGGTGCTCTAAGCCCTGATGTCCATTTCTGCCTTTAGCATCTCCTAGAGAGAGTTATCTTCTTAAGATGCTGTTGTTGGTCCCTTTCCTCCCTGTTTCCCCTCCCCCTTCCTTTTCTCATCTCTCTCCCTTCTCCCCTTTCTCCCTCCCTCTTCCTCCTCCTCTTTCTCCTTTTCTTCTTTTCCCAGTGCTGGGTCTGGAACCCAGGACTCCATATATGCTAGGCAAGCAGTCTGCCACTGAGATACGGTCTTGCTATTTATCGCAAGCTGGCCTCAAACCCATAGTCCTACTTCTGCCCCCTGAGGGTTGTCATTCCAGGTCTGTACCACTATGCTCAGCTTTGTCTGCTGATCGCATTGCTGTCGGTCTGGTTCCCCTACCCAGAAGCAAGGTTGGCTTCATGGGCGTGCAGCCTGAAATGTCACACAGTTCTGTTATTGTTACTTGGCATTCTTTTTATAGTTGTTTTTGTTTTTAAAGACAGGGTTTCTCTGTGTAACAGCCTGGCTATCCTTGAACTCACTTTGTAGACCAGGGTAGCCTGAAACTCATTGAGATACAACTGCCTCTGTCTCCTAAGTGCTGGGATAAGGGACTTTGCTACCACTACCCAGCCAGTCACTTGATTCTTAATATATATATATATTTTTTTTTTTTTTTTTTTTTTTTTTTTTGACAGTAGGCCCTGCGTTTTTTGTTTGTTTACACTGGGACTCTCAAATGATGTAGATGGTTCTTTCTCAAAGCTCCCACCATCTTCCCTCCAGCCAGTCCAGTCCTCCTTCCAGTGGCCAGTGAGGCCCTTTAAAAGTCCACCGGAAACTGAGCATGGTGGTACATGCCTTTTAATCCCAGCACTAAGAAGGCAAAAGGCAGGAGGATCTCTGTGAGTTCAAGATCAGCCTGGTCTACTGCGATAGTTCTTTTGGTAATGTGCATAACTAACATTCACAGAGCCCTGGGTTCTGTCGATAACCCCAAATAAACCTCATGTGGTGGCTTGTACCTCTAATCCCAGCACTTGGGAGGTAATTCAGAGCGCCTGCCCCTGTACATAGAACACAAAGAACAAATATCATTCCCTTGTCTGTTGTGCCTCTGCTCTAGATAGCCCTTGCCTTCTTACCGCCCTCACCTGCTTCAAGTTACTACGGTCACCGCCTCCAGGAAGCCTTCTTAAATAGTGCATAGAACAAACAGCACCCAAACTCTTCTGGTCCCAACCATTCATCACTTGTTTTACTATAGACTTGCTTATGTATAAATCATATGCCCCTGTCCTGTGTGTGCTGGAACGCAAGCCAACCAGAATGAGAGCTTTGTGTCATTGGAGACACTCAGATATGTAACAGGGGCATGACAGTGAAGTTTTGGAGTAGCATTTGGGGGGATGAAATCAAAGAGAAAAGGCTGGGGGCAGCATGCTTGCCCCGGCATGTGTGAAACCCGGGGTTACATCAAAGAAAAGAGTCAAAGGATTTAAGGATTCACTGAACCACAGGGTACCAGGCCTCCTCATCAGGGACCATGGTGGGTGAGGATTGAGGTGTCTGGAAAGAGGTGGGGCTGAACAGGTATCTCCCTGCTGAGAACCCAACTGTCTCCTGCCAGGCCCCCTGGGTGGTGGAGGGCTCCCGTGCTCCGGAAGGCTGGCCCACTCGTGGAGCAGTGGAGTTCCGGAACTATTCAGTGAGGTACCGCCCAGGCCTTGAGTTAGTGCTGAAGAACCTGACTCTGCATGTGCAGGGTGGAGAGAAGGTACTTGTGTCCGGGGATCTTGCCACGGCCTTGTGGGGGAACATGGGTGCTCTAACTGGCTGTCTATTAGGGTGCTGATAGAAACCTAGAGCTACCCCCTGACATCTCTTCCCATGCCCACAGGTTGGCATTGTGGGCCGCACTGGGGCAGGCAAGTCTTCCATGACACTCTGCCTATTCCGAATCCTGGAGGCTGCGGAGGGTGAGATCTACATTGATGGGCTCAATGTGGCGCACATTGGCCTCCATGACCTGCGTTCTCAGCTCACCATCATCCCTCAGGTAGGACCCTGCTGACCCTGCTGCTTCCCCGACCCCACTCCCAAACCCTGAAACTTGAAGAACTTAAGAACTGAGCCTTGGGGCCTGGTTGGAGTGACAACTCCACAGAGGGGAGCAGAATCCACACAAGAGAAACCTAGGCACAGATCCGGAAGGGCAGACACGTCGGCCAGTCAGGGCTGCCCCTGGGCTCCGGGACTAGCAAATGGGAAGGACCAGCAAAGCAATGTTGAGGTGTCCTCTTTCTTTCCTGGTTGTACAGCTCCTAATGGCACAGCCTTTTCTGGCTCCTTAGGGTGTTTATGCTGAGTAGACACTTCAGAGGTAGATTTGTGGAATTGCTTCCTGCCTCAGCAGGGGGCTTAGCAACTGGCCAAGCTGAGCTTTTTCACTCCCCCACAGACTTTTTTATCTCCCTGCTAATGTCCCCCTTCTGGAGGACTGGGGACAGAGCAGAGAGCTGCTGCTAGATCACTTTCCTCCCTCACCCTCTTGAGACTCCTTACAGGGTGTAAGCTATTTCTGTCTGATATTATGTCACCAGGACCCCGTCCTGTTCTCGGGGACCCTGCGCATGAACCTGGACCCCTTTGGCCGATATTCAGAGGAGGACATCTGGAGGGCCCTGGAGCTGTCCCACCTGCACACCTTTGTGAGCAGTCAGCCAGCAGGCCTGGACTTCCTGTGCTCGGAGGGCGGGGAAAATCTCAGGTAGGAGTGGAAGTGGACACACCAGGCAGGAATGCTGGCCCCCAACTGGGGGCCCTGTGGGTGTGGCACAGAATCCAGATGAACCCCTAAACCACTCAGGCATGCCCCTAGCCAGAGCTGCACAGGGATGTTATTTCCTGTGGAGTGTATTTTCAGAAGGCACGAAGCACTTCCTCGGACTCTTCACAAAAGCCTCACTTTGCAGTTTAGGAAACAAACTCAGAGCAGGGAGGGATTAGCCAAAGAAGAGACATGCCTGGGATTTGAACTAGCTTTGGTTCTCAAATAATTCGACCCCAGTGACATTCAAATGAAGCAGAACCACCCTTGTTAGAGTCTTCTGGATTCTAGGGTCATGTACCCTTGCCACAAGTGAGAGGTAGCCCATGGTGTTCTGGAAAGTTAAGATGTCTGCCAGCACAGAGGCAGTCAGCTCAGGAATATACAGTCGGAACTCTCTGTGTTCCCTGTTCATCCCAGGCCTCTGGGCTGTGTGTTCCAGATATCAGCAGTCTGTTCTTATTGAGTCAAAAGCCTCAAGATACCTAGACTTTCTTTTGTATTTTGTTGGAGTTTATTTCTTGTGCTAGATTCACCAATGCTAGGCAAGCTCTTTACTGCTAAGCCATCGCCCTAGTCCTAGCTGTGTGATTAGGGCAAGCTGTTTGACCATTCTGTGTCTCTTTTACATTCACTGAATAAATAGGAATAATAATAATCTATATCTGCTTGCATTGCAGTCCCTGATAATACTATAATATGAGGGGCTGGAGAGATGGCTCAGTGGTTAAGAGCACTGGATGCTCTTCCAGAGGACCCAGGTTCAATTCCCAGAACCCACATGGCAGCTCACCATTGACTGTAACTCCAGTTCCAGAGAATTTAACCTCTTCTTCTGGCCTTGGTAGGCACTGCACACATGTGGTACACAGACACATGTGCAGGCAAAATACATATATATATATCTTAATAAATAAAATGAACATTATAATGCAAACTGTATATATATAATTATATATATTTTTTCTAGTAGATGCATTAATGGGCAGCATAGTGTTACCCCTTCTCAAGAGAGGCATGCCCATTGAGATGTCTTAGTATGGAAGGGTGCTTGTCACACAAACCTGATGACCTGACCTCAATCCTTGGAACCCATGTAAAGGTAGAAGTAGAGGATCAGCTCTACAGAATTGTTCTCTGACCTCCACATTTGTGCGCGTGTACATGCGCGCACGCACAACACACACACACACACACACACACTACATAGACACACAAAAACATCGGCACACATAATAATACTATTGATGATAACAAGAGAGGCAAATAAACAAGAATAGCTCAGTGATTAAGAGCACTGGCTGCTTTTCCAAAGGACCAGCATCTGGTTCTCAGCACTCACAATAGATGGTTCATGACTACCTGTGAATCCAGGTCCAAGGGACCCAATGCCCTCTCCTGGCCCCCACAGGCATGCACTCGTGCATGAACACACACACACACACACACACACACACACACACACACAGCTTATAACTACACAGACACACAAGCATACACATAAATAAAAAGGTATCTTTAAAAATTTAATTTACTGGGCTGCAGAGATGACTCAGAAGAGTACTGACTGCTCTTCTAGGAGTCCTGAGTTCAATTCTCAGCAACCACTTGGTGGCTCACAACCATTTGTAATGAGATCTGGTGCCCTCTTCTGGTATGCAGGGAGACACTGTAAATATAATAAATAAATGAAATATTTAAAAAATAATTTTTTGAGGCAGGCTCACAATGTAGTTTAGATTACTCTGGAACTCAGGGTAATCCTCCTGTTTCAGCTTCCTGAGTACTAGAAGTATAAGTGTACACTACACTACCCAGTAGTATAACAACTATTTTTTAAATATGTTTTTGTTTAGTGGCACTCATGTACAGGACAATTTACAGGAGTCAGTTTTCTCTTTCTGAGAAGTGGGTTACAGGGATCAAGTTCGGGCCATCAGGTTTGATGGCAAGTGTCTAGCCACTAAACCATCTGACTGAAAATGCCCTGGAATAAATTCTAAAATCATATTTTATCCAGCCCAACATACCTAATATTCAATGTGTCATCAATATAAAAGCTATTAGGTGATATATGCCTTTCATCCCAGACCTTGGGAGGCTTGAAACTGGAGGGTTAGCTTAAGTTTAAGACCAATCTAGGCTATATAATGATTCCTTGTCTTAAAAAATAAGGGAAGTTATTATGACTATTTTGCATTTTTTTTAACAGAAGTTTAAATCCTGTATGTATTTCCACTTTCTTTTTGTTTGATTTTTCTTTTCTTTTTTATTCTTTTGGGGCTTTTGTTTTGTTTTGTTTTTTTGAGACAGAATTTCTCTGTGTAACAGCCTTGGCTGTCCTGAAATTCATTTTGTAGACCAGGCTGGCCTTGAACTCACAGAGAACTACCTGCCTCTGCCTCCTGAGTGCTGGGATTAAAGGCATGTGCTACCAGTGGGTGTTTATTTTTTGAGGTAGGGTATCTCTATGTAGTAGCTCCACCTGTCCTAGAACTTGCTATGTAGACCAGGCTGGACTAGAACTCACAGAGATCTCTTTCCTGAGGTAAGATACCACACCTGGCTGTATTTTCTACTTGAAACACAGCTCTGTCCAGAACAGCTACAGCTCAAGTTTGAAAGAGCCAGATGTGGCCAGTCAGTAGTTACACTTTGAAGGGAGCAGTCTTGGGTCAGCTCTGCTGAGAAGCACTTAGCCCACATGTACTCCTGTGTGTGAACTGTCAACGAGTTCTCTCCCCTTTCTGCCCTCTCTTTTTTTCTTACTTTTTCCTTTTGGTGCTGGGGTCGAACCCAAGACCCTGTATATGCTTCAGAAACACTCCACTGTGACCTACATTCCCAACCCTTTATTTTCATTCTTGTATTATGTACACACTCATGTTTTAAAACTTGAAACAAACAAACAAAAGGTCACATCTGCCCAGTGCTTAATGTTTTGCAGTATTCAAAGTACTTTGGCCTCCACCTTCTCATTTAATCTTTTCTGCTGCCCTGTGGGCTGGAAATAGAAACGGAATTACTTGCCCAAAACTTCCTGGCCAGCCAGAGCCAGGGCAAGGGACTTAGGGAGATGTGAGATTTTGTTCCTATGGCATTCCCTACTTCATCACAAGGCTTCCTCAAATGGAATCCGGGTGTTGCAGGCCTAGTGACACATACCTGTAATCCCAACTACCTGAGGCAAGAAAATTGAAAGTTCAAGACTAGCCTTGGCTGGATGGAGATAAGAGTCCTTGATTAGTGAATGTGAGGTCTGGGTTCAATTACCAGTACAACACCCTTCCCCACCAAGAACACCCCCCCCCAAACCCTGTAAAGGTAAATGTGTATCTTAAATTGACTTTACTTACATAACCATACGGGGTGTGGCAGTATGGGCTCTCCAGCCTCTGTCTCCAGAGCTCCTAGCTGTCTGCTTGTCCCCAGCATTTTCCCCAGAGCATCTGTAGCCCTTCACACCAGGACCAGAGACAGAAACAGTCCCTCCTCCTCCCTCAGTGAGCTTGTGGTCACTTTAAGTATAACCTGTATCCTGTGCCAGACCCACCATTAATCAGCCCTGAGTTCTATCTGGTAGTTCATTCTGCTGCCAGAACGTTCATTAGTTGCGGGAAGAGGCCAGGGAGGGAGGCCGGTCTTTAGTTTGGCTGTGACTCACCCCTCTGGGAAGGGTTGAGGTATTTGTCCTTGGGTGTGGGGGGGTGTAGGGGGGAACGACGGTGCTGTGGCCTCTGTGGTTGGGAATACAGCCTTGCTTTGTTTACTGGCTCTGGCTTTCAAGGCCAGAGGTTGAAGATCCGCCCTCCTGATTTCCAGTGAACAAAGATGGGGAGTCCCCAGGTCCCTCCCTTTCATGTTTCCCAAATAGAGCCATGCTCTCTATTCCCTGTGTGGGTAGGAGATGGCTGCCAGAATGGTATTATCATAGTTTAGCAGGATGGCACGAGTGGCTTATATGCAAATATCCAGGAAGAGCAATCCCAGTATATTCTTACTATAAAGTATGAACGCCTGGCAATGTGCAGTAAAGACACACTGTGGGCACTAGTTGCAGAATGTGGTCCAGAAGGAAGCACAGGAAGAGGAGACCTGAGAAATCCTACAGCAGAGCTCTCACAGGGATGTTTGGCTCTGGGTCTAGTCCTCCAGGCCCTCATTGTGCTACAAAGCTTTGTCCCTATTCCTGATGAGGTGTAGCAGGACCAGGACAGATAGACAGCTAGTCCTGGGCTGCTGAGAAGTAGAGATAAACACATTGGAAACGAGATTGGGAAGGTACTTGGGCACCTAGCTGGAAACACCTGCCTTCCTTCTCAGTGTTGGCCAGAGGCAGCTGGTGTGCCTGGCCCGAGCCCTGCTCCGCAAGAGCCGAGTCCTGGTTTTAGACGAGGCCACTGCTGCCATTGACTTGGAGACCGATGACCTGATCCAGGGCACCATCCGTACCCAGTTTGAAGAGTGCACTGTTCTAACCATTGCCCACCGGCTCAACACAATCATGGATTACAACAGGTGGGCCATGGAAACCCAAAGGGGTGAGGGAATGGAAAGCCATGGAGATGGAGGTGATCTGTGGCTGTCACCTGGGAGTCAGGAAGAGGCAGGGCAAGTGAAAATAGCTGGGCATGAGACTCTTGGAATTGGCTATGGCATGGGAGTACAGAACAGTGGTCCCAAGTTATGCTTAAGAAGCAGAATAGGACAGGGTTTCCTGAGTACAATGACATCTGCAAAGACACAGGGTCTTTTTGGAATTACCAACATGTGGGGAAAGGTATACCAGGCTCCTTAGACATTGGAAACTGCATGGACCACCTCTGTGCTCCTGACTGTGAATGGGTAAGGGGAGGAGGATGGCCCCTCAAGCCACTTCCAAGCTTGTTGGTGGAGTGTTGGCATGCCCAATACTTCCTCTGCATCTCACTACCACCTGTGTCAGGGAAGCCCAACAGGCCACGGGGGTTGTGATAAAGCTGCTTGGGAAGTACATGACAGATTCCTGGGTCCCATCCTTGGTGACTAGACCCTAACAGTGCCTGAAAGACACTTGTGGGGAAGGTATTGTGTCTGAGCCAGAGCCCTGGGTTCCTGTTGCTGTGACTATGGGCAACTTGCAAAGCTTCTCTGGGGCTGCTCAGAACTGATTTAAGGAGTTGGTGAGGTTAAACTGAAGGTAACATCTAGAAATGTCATTTTGCTCCCCAGTCCCCTTAAAACCCACTTATCCTGATTCTCCCTAGCCTTGGTGTTGCCCTCAGATTCTCCTCCTGGCTTCCTTGGGTTGGGGGATGGGTCAACCGAGGCTTTCTCTTGGAAGTGTCTGCATGCAGCCAGCAGAACCTTGGGTGGGTGGGGGACCGTGAGCATGTCCGATGCTAGCTAACCTGTGTCTGTTCCATCACTACCCCCTTTCTGTCCTCCACTCCCATTCAAGACCCCACTGGGAGGAGCATGCAGGTGGACTGCTAGTGCTGGGCTCTGCCTCTGAGGAGAGAGGCAGGGCTCAGAGGATCCTTCCAGATTCATCCCCTAGCAGCTCTAGGGTGGGAGGCTGGGGGGGGGCATCATGGGGGTGGGAGTTCACTCCTGCTAAAAGGGCAGGCAGAAATTAACCAAAGAGCCAGGTTACAGAGCCTGTAATAGAGCCCACAGGAAGGAAGCAGGGATCCCTGTGTGTGAACAGAGAAGTCAGTCTACACAGGGTGGCAGGGCCTTCTCTTCTAAGGATAGTGCCAGCTGGACCCAAAGGATGGGGAAAGGGTGTGTGTGGGGGGAGGGGTGAAGACGGGAGGGGCTAAATGGCTCACAAATAGAGGCAGCACAGCCCCAAGTCAGGGAGCACTGAGGCTGGAGGGCGGGGTCGGAGAGGAACTGGCCCCAAAAGCTGCTCTTGAAGAGCATGCAGATTCAGTTGGCGTTCATGTTAGGGGCCAGGAGAAACCACTGGAGACTGAGTCCAGATAAGACAGCTTCTTGGCCCAGGTCTGGACAGTGGCCAGGTGGTAATGTTCACTCCTTCCCAGCACACAGATGGAGAAGCCCAGCAGGTGGGGATCAGAAAGCAGCCTGCCCTTCTCACAAAGGAGTCTGTCTCCAGGCTTGGGGCCTCTGCACTCCCTGGTGCAGCTGTCTTGTGCCAGGTGCTTCCTGTGTGTGGTTGAATGATAGGAGGCTCTAACTCCAGGCTCAGGCTTGCCTGGGGTGGGGCAGTTGATCCATGCAGCAGCCACAGCCGCCGCCGCAGTGGCAGCCCAAGTCCCAGATTGCAGGTTGGCCTCACTGCAGCCTGGTTTCCTGCCGTGTGAGCTGACACAAAGCAGATGGATGAACACTGGGCCTAGCAGGCCAGTGGCTCCCTGCATACAGCCTGCTGAAGCCCTGCGACCCCAGCAAGACGAAGGGCTCATTAGGGAAAGCTTTCCAAGTCCAGACTAGCAGAGATGAATAGGACTTTGTGTTTGATCCCACACCGAGCACTGGGAGAGCTAACAAAATAGCAAAAAATAACCAGCCTTGCTAGTGTGCGCTTGTGGCCTATCAGTTGGGCTGAGTGGGTTGACTGAGGTGAGTGGACTGGCATGTCACTGGGAAACCTGAGCAGTACCCAAAAGGCAGGGCTGGCCTCTAGGGCTGATGAAGACCTAACTACTTTTTCTTTCTTGGCTAGGGTCCTGGTCTTGGACAAAGGGGTAGTAGCTGAATTTGACTCTCCAAGCAACCTCATCGCAGCTGGAGGCATCTTCTATGGGATGGCCAAAGATGCAGGACTCGTGTAGGATGCATTCCAAGGGTTTCTTCCTTGTCTGAATTGACAGCAAGTATCTGCAGAATGGACTTGATGGCAAAGAGTGGGGGCATTTGTGAGATTATTATTATTTTATTATTATTATTCGGCAAATTGCCTCACAGACTAACCATACTTAATACCAGAATGAGGAAGTGAGTTGAAGTCGAGTTCAAAGACAAGTTCAGACCAGTGCCTGTGTCTCCTGGTCCTACTATACCATTATTTCCATACTGCAGTTTTTAAGAGACCTCAGCCCTCGCTACAGTTTCATATTTTCCACTTTTTTTTTTTTTTTTAAACAAATCTTCCTCCTTCTGGGCCAGGGACTGCTAGGTCAGGCTGTCCCAGGAACCGAGTGCCTGTATTGTGCTGTCTGAATCCACTTCAGACAGGATACTGATGAAATAAAGCTGTGTGTTCAACAGCATACACACGTGTTGCCTTCTGCCTGCTTACAAAGTCTGGAGTTAGAACTTTTGTGAAGAACCAAAACAGGCAGAGGCCCTCCTACACTTCAGTGTGGCTCAGTTATCGGAAACCTTCAGATCCGAAATTATTGGCTGCGAAATCTTCACAGTGAATTTACAGTACCTCCCACTCTGCTGGGCAGAGGTTAGGAAAGGTAAAAAAAATAAAGGTCCTGAAATCTGACCTGAGGCTTTAGGTTCTTGGAAGAGCTAGCGGTTGAGAACCTTCTGGGTCATTGCTGTCTTCCAAGTCTGTTCTCCAGGGGCTAAAATGTGTGAGCTCTCCGCTCCTGGCTCCTTTAGAAGCCTGTTCACCAGGAAGGCCACTGGTCATTTCTTCTCGGCGGGTCAGCTGGGTGAACAGGAAGGTCGGAAGTGTCCCAGGTTCTCACCTCCTCTGCCCCTGAAGCCATTTTGAATGAGCCAACAAAGGCTCATTTTCTGCAGAGTTCACCTGGTAGCAGGGCTGCATTTGAAATGGATGGCTTTTGTCACCTCCCTGCCTTCTCCCCCTCATTGGGACCCTTACTCTTGGGGAAAAGTGACTGGCTGCAGGTGGTGGCCGCTTTCCTTTCCCCTCCCTAAGTGCTTGGCAGTCATTGAGGAGATGGCTCCTTTGATCTGCTTTTTCTGAATGCCCTGGGTTGGCCCATGCTGCAGGACCATTTGTTAAAGGTTAATCACATTTTTTGGCAGGCTGTTTCTGGCCAGGATGTTTATGAGTATGTGGAAGGCAGCTTCCATCCTTGTGATAGTGCAAGTATGAAAGCACGAATGCCCAAATTACTCTGCCTCTCCTTGGTGCTAAGGTCTCTGCTATGCTCTGATTTATTAGGCCAATTTGGCATGACGTCTGCTTTGTGAGGCGCTAGCTGGCCTAAACCAACAGGAGATTCATTCGGCATGTTTCTCAGCTAAGGGTCTGAAGGTGTGAGGCTGTTTCCTCTCCTGCCTTGGGAGTCTGCTTCTGAACTCACTGAGGCCATGACAGGCGCTGACAGCCCAAAGGGGAGGCTCAGTTGTGTCAAGTAAATCGAATAATCAAAAAATGTGGTTAATAGGGGATGACCTCTATCTGGCTGGCTCAGTGACTCCAGGGAAAAGAAGTAACTGCCGTGAACTGGGAGGGAAGACGCCACACAGAATCTGTCTCCAGATGCTCCCGACAGGGCCTGAGTGCTGCTGGAGTGGCAGTGGCAGTGGGGTGGAGGAGGCTAGCCTGGGAGCTGGTCCTTCTCTTTTCCCTCCACAGTGCTAGCCCCATGGGGCTTTACAGCAATTTGAACCCTCTGTGATTAGAATACAGAGCTGTTTAGGAGGGCAAAATGAGAGGAAATGGACTTGGTCAGTTAACGTTTAATTTTATAATACCTGTTATGTTTGAACAGTCAACAACACACGAGGAAAAGTCCCCGTGAATGTTTACACAGTGTGAACACATGCTTTAAATATGCCATGGAGGAGAAGTGCATTCAGTTAACAAAGCTGAAAAGAAAATCCCGTGTTATAAATTACACAAAGCATATAAAAATATTTCTCTGAATGCATAGATTAAGACTTTAGACTCACCTAAGAACAACCATGCATCTTCATCCCACCACAGAGGACCAGCAAAGGGCAGGGTACCGGGCAGAGTCATGTGGGACCTGTCCCCCCATTTGGGACACCGAGAGCCTTGGTCACTCTGCTTCTGAGCTCTGTAGCACTCTCCTGTAGCCCACCTCCCAGCCAGGTCTCTGCTGTCTCTGAGAATCACTAATCAGTTGGGGTGGCTAAAGGAGTTTGAACCCCAGTCGTTTAGACATGAATTAATACTGAATTTATTTCTTCCAAGATCGAATCACAACTGTATCAGTAAACTAAGTTTTTCCAAAGCAGATTGGGGGGAGGGGGAGTTAGTACATCTGGATAAAGTAGTTTGTGATTAGTTGAAACACCAGGGAGGTTTCTTCATTAAAGCACTTGGGAGAAGGGGTGATAAGCAACCGCCACTGCGCTATGCAAACACTCTACAAGGGGGAAGTCACTAGCTCTACCAGTGTGGGTATGATTAAGTCACTACACACAGTGACCCCACGAAGCTGGCCTTGAAGAACCCTTGAACCTCATTCCAGCATTTAGGAGGCAGTGGGAGGCCATTACCTCGGCACAACATTCCCTTCCACTGACATCTGCGTGTTTTCACTCAACTGCAGCGCTCTAATAAAATTAAGTTAATAGTCAGGAAGTTAAGTTTCTTTGGAAACTATAGGCACTATGGGGAGAAAGCTTAAGACAGCAGGGATCCTCGTCAACAGCTGCTCCAGCCCCTGCTCTCCTGTTTGTCTGCATGGGCCAGGTCCTATTCTAAAGTTAAGTTGTTTCAGCTTTTCCACTTGAGTGATGCTGAGAAGGGGAGGACTCTCTGAAAGCACTCTTGGGAAAGATTTTTACGCCGTGCTCCAGAATCTGATCAGGTGCTCACAACTGACTTTCCCATGGATTGGAGGTGGTGACGGGGATTCCTAAGATCCAACAATTTGTTTACAAAAAAAGCAACAGATTTCAGAGTTATGTAAAAATCCTAATAATTTCCAAAATAACCTTTATCTTTGATACAAAAATAAAGATGCTAACTCCTTTAGTTCAGTTTCCCACAATGACCGTTAAAACAGCAACAAACTCAGGCTCGAAAACTGCTTTTTGTTTCTGGTGGGAAGTGAGTGTGGACGTGGACCAGCAGTGTTTGTGCTCTTCTTGAATGGTGCAATTCAACAAGGATGGCAGGAACTGCTCAGGAGTAAAAATAGAGTGGTTCCTTTAGAAAGCATTAGAGAGCCCTCTAGTGACTGTGGAGGGGAGGAGATGCAAAGATGACTGTCCTGAGACAGCGGCAGTCATGAGTGATCACAAAGGAAAAGTGGGGGAGGGGAAGCTCTTTTGGTTAACAGCCTATTTATAGTTAGGTAACTATATTTTTTAATACTTTAAACCTGAGTAACATTTATAAATATGCTATATGAAACCTCACAGCCACAGGTTACACCAGAATCCCTTTGTCCAGTACCTGTGTTTTCTTTCCTGAGTCCTCCTCCCTCATCAATCAGTTCAAAATCTCAGGAGCATCATGATCATGCAACACCAAGAGAAATGAGCCTGGCCCTTCAGGTACACCATCAACACAAGTGGCTGGAAACAGGTCCGCTCTCTAGTTTCTGCTTCAACTCTCTAGAGTCTACACACAAAACACTGGCTATCGTACCTCCGGCTTCTGCCTCTCAAGATGACTTTTCAGCTGTTCAAAGATTCAGCAATAGGTTTTATTGTGCACCAAGAGGCTTGGAAGAGTGGCACCGCTGCTGGGGGTCAGGGTTGCCTCCTGCTGAGGCAGGATATTAGTGTACACTACGAAGTGACACCAGGGGCCCTGGTGGGCATCCGAGGCTTTGGGATCAATGGCTTGTCCTTTGGCCCAGAGGTGACACATACTGTCACAATACTCATTGATAAAGACCCTGCTGCATTAGTATGTCAGTTTTGAAGCTCTCCGGTTGTAGCAAGGCCTCTCAGTCAGTGTGGATGCAGCGTTTCTGAATAGAAAATTATTCTCACTGATCATCAGAACCAGCTCTAACTCTTGGAAATCCTGGAGTCGGGCAACATCTTTGTCCTAAAACAAAATAGGGCAATGGGTTAAAATCTCTTTCTATTTACTTTTTTATTACATTTCTTTATTTTGTATGCACACATTTGTGTCATGTATGATACACATGCAGAGGTCAGAGGACAACCTGTGGGAATTGGCTCTCTCATATTACCATGTGGGGCCCTGGGATAAAACTCAGATCATCAGGCTTAGCAGCAAATGCCTTTACCCACTAAGCCATTGTTATCAGCCCAGGGCAACAGATTAATAGAAGCAGCTTGTGCTTGTGTCTGTGTTTAGTGGGTTGTACTGATGCTAGTATCTTGGTCCATCTTCAATATAAAAGAAAAATGAAATCCCTGGGGCAGCTAAGTAATGATCAGTCCCCAGGTGTAACCTGGACACGATGAAGAAGGTCCTAATAGTATCTGATTGAGGATTTGAATACCCTGGATGGACAGGGAGGTGGCCATCAGTTTTCCTCAGGAACCCAGAAGGTTGATGCTAGAGATTAACCTATTGATGACTAGAGGATCACACAGATGCCCAAGTGGACCTCATCTCATCATATACAGAATAAACCCTAATAGAGCACCAAGGCAAACCCCACAGGTCACTATGGAAACAACTGAAACAGGCCCCTATAACATTCTGCTATCTTCCAACCTTCAAAAATGCCAGTGTATTACAATGTAGTAGCTTACATTTTTTGTTAGGAACTAGCAGCTAGCTGACCCCCACCCCCGACGATGGGCATGGGCAGGACGTTCATGGCCGTGTCATCACTACATCAGCCTTACCTGGCAGCTCAAGCTTTACCTGGCTGCCAGAGGACTCAGTTACACATGCGCAAGGCCCCCTTTTAAAGCAAGTGCGCCAAGCACGCCTCTCTCTCTGGTTTCTCTGTTGCTCCCCCTCTTGCCCCCTCTTGCTCTCTCTCTGCCCACCCTGCTCTCTCTCTCTCTCCTGCTTTCGGTTGGCCACCAGCTACCCCCTCTTTCTCTCCCTTCTCTCAATAAACTCCACGTGGGCGCTGAGTCTCGTGTTTGTGTTTCTTAGGCATTAGCTGCGCAGCAAAAGAACAACACCTTTAATGCCAGCACTCAAGTGGCTGAGGCAGGAGGACTGCCATAAATCCACTGCTGGCCTGGAACAAACAATAAATTCCAAGGCAGCTAGAGCTACATACACATCAAGACCCTGTGTCAAAATAAATAAATGAACAAGTAAGCCAGGGTCTCGGTGGACTCAGATGAAGGGAAAGAAAGCTTCTGGACTGTGTTTAGGTTGGAACTTGAACTCAAGGCCTTGCACATGACAAGCATACACTTGACCACTGAGCTATGGCCTCCGCTCTCCCTTTGCTACTGGCTTTCCCTTAGACTCAAAAACCAAGGAAGAAGTTTGGTGTGTTCCAAATGCAGACAGAAGCTACTCACTCATGCCAAGCAGACTTCTTACCTTTCTCAGCAGAGTATTAGGTAACTTCCTGATCTTTTCCACTTGGTCTGGATTAACACCCAGCTCACAGCAACTCACTCTGAGCAATTCTTGGTAGGTGAGCTCCTGTCGATCCAGTTCAATTTCAATGAAATCATTTTCCCGAAGAGATGGGTTCTGAATTCTCACCTTGAGTACCAGCTCTAAAAAAAAAAGAGAGAGAGAGAGAGAAAGAAATGGCAATGCATAGTCTGGTATAGCTCAGCATATGTAATTTAAGGTCTGCACCACCCACTGAAAAAACGTAGGCCAGTCAGTAGGGTTTGTTTATACCATCCATGGCTCTATTGGGGCAGTTTCCTGCATTGTCCTCTCTGCTATGGTTCACCAAGCAAAAAAGGGGCAGGAGCAGTCATCCTAGCTATATAAGGGTCACTAATCTCTGTCACTGGACATAAGGAGGTAAAGACTCCAGAAGGGTTTGAGTACCAATTACACATGAGTAGGGAATGGAGGGTCAGAAAGATGGCAAGGGCAAGATGTGATATCTGAGATACTCTGAAAGCATTCAGCAATTACGGACCTAAAGTTACTTAGGAAATATACCACTCCTTGAAATAAAAACAGGAAAGGAGGCAGGCAGGGATTTCATCATACACTTACAATTTTAGCAACAGGGAAGTGGAGAGAAAAGGACCATATGTTTCTGGACAGCCTGGACTACATAGTGAGACAGTGTCTCAAAACAGCAAAATGATTGATCCTAGCAACTCAGGAAACAGAGACAGGTATCTTAGGCTACATATCCAAACTAATTAATAAAAACAAGCAAACAAACAAACAAAAAATGCCAAATCAAAAGAAAAACAGCAAAGGAACAACAAAAAAAAAAAAAAAAGTTAAATTTGAGCATGACTTGAAACATTGCAACTTGATAAGGGAGGAATCCTTGTTTGCGAGTAAGTAACACTACATTCATGAGTCAAGAGTTAGAAGCAATCTGTCTTTGTATTCCAGACTGGGGTGTCAAGCTGACTCAAGCCAAGTATTCACATGCATTTGCCAATTCTATCTTGCTCCTAAAGTATGGATCCCTCACAGCATCATAGGTCACTGATATTAGCAGCTATAGTGTTAGTCTTCAAAACTAGGAAGTTAGGTGAAAACGAAAAAGTAAGTGTACACCAGACTCTATGGATTTTACTGGAATTAGAGCCGTCTGAATGAATTTTTGGTTTCTAATGTTCTTAAAATGATGTAAACAGCCAGGTACTCCTTTAACTATAGCATTTGGGAGGCACAGGCAAGTGAATCTCTCTGAATTCAACACTAGCTTGTTGTACATAGTGCGCTTTGGGCCAGGCAGGACTACATAGTGAGACTCTTGCCAAAAACAAACAAACCAAGAACCTAAACAAACACATATGCAGAAAGAGAAATATACATAAGTTTATACATGTGAATAATATATGTATATACATACAAACATATGTACAAATGTTTATATGCTTCCTTCTCTTTTCCCATCCCTTCCTCACACAATCCCTTCTCTTAGTCTCCAATTAAACCTAGAACTGTCACACCTATAACAAAGAGGACACCTAGTGCCCACATCTGGCTTCTAAATCCTACTCTCTACCCAAAAGAACCAGGACTCCTAGAGGACAGTGAATTGAAGTGTTGGCGTGGGGAAAATGACACTATAAAACAGGCACATCTTCAAGCACTAGAAGTAAGGATGTGTTCCAAGAATAATGGGGCTGTGTCCATAGGATATAAGAACTAGCTTGAAGGGGTTCACACTGGCTAAATAAGGAATAACCTATATATCAAAAGAATGCTTATATCAAATTACAACACACTGAATATAATGTGAATCATGAGTCCATGCAGGAGAGATGGCTCAGCAGTTAAGAGCACCTGCTGCTCTGCCAGAGGACCTAGGTTCAATTCCCAGAATCCACAGGGTGGTTCACAACTGTCTGTAACTCATTCCAGGAGATCCAATGCTCTCTTCTAGCCTCTGAGGACACCAGACACATACATGATATACAGACATCCATGCAGGCAAAACACCCATACCCCCACCCCTCAAAAAAGTCAGTATGGCTATCACTGAGAAGGAAAAGTCCTTCTTTACTGAGATTTGTTTTTATTTTATCTTATCCCCCAGACTAGAATTACATAAGGTTGTGAGCTGCCATGTGGGTGCTAGGAATTGAACCCAGGTCCTCTGGAAGAGCAGCCAGTGTTCTTAACCACTGAGTCATTTCTCCAGCTGCTCCAAAGTCCTTCATAGTAGAACACTAAGTGATACACAGAGAAGGAATGATATGAAGCCATATTTCACCAATTAACTGCTTTGAACCCTTCAAAATTGTAGAGGTCAAGAATGATAGGGAAAAAGGGGCTAGACAGATGGGGCAGCTTTTAGAAACACTTGCTATTCTTCCCGAGGACCAGGACCAGAGTTTGGTTCTCAGTACCCGTGTCACATGGCTCACAGGGTCTGAAATTCCAGTGCCAGGAAATCTGACACCTTCTTTGGTCTCTATAGGCACTGCACGTACATGGCATACTTACATGGAGGCAAAATACTCATATACATTTTAAAAAGTTAATTTTTTAAACTTTTTTTTTTTAAGACTTGTTTATTTTATATAGTGTTCTGCCTGCATGTCCGTCTGCAGGCCAGAAGAAGTCACCAGATCTCATTATAGATGGTGGTGAGCCACCATGTGGTTGCTGGGAATTGAACTCAGAACCTCTGGAAAAGCAGCCATCTCTCCAGCTCCCATTTTTGTGGTTTTTTTTTTTTTTTTTTTTTTTTTTTGAGACAGGGTTTCTCTATATAGCCCTGGCTGTCCTGGAACTCATTCTGTAGACCAGGCTGATCTTAAACACACAGAGATCCACCTACCTCTGCCTCCTGAGTGCTGGGATTAAAGGTATGCACCACCATGCCCAGCAAGAGAAACTTTTTGTTCCTAGGAATGATAGAAAAGGGACAGTACTTCCACATTTTTGAGTAAAAGGTATACAGTTTATGAACCTTGAGTGAAGAGAGCTCCTTATACAGGTTCTGGAACTCTTCCCTAACTTTGTAAGTATACCCCAATTAAATAAACAAATGAACTTCATTCTTCTGTTGCAGAGGCTGTTTACTGTTAAGGCATTACCTTGCATATTAAATGGAAATGCTCCAGTGAAGAAAAATGGCTGAAATGCTGGCGCTGGTCCTGTATATGTCCCATTCTGAGGCTCCAAAGACATTGGTGGCTTGGGTGGGACAGAGGAGAACAGGGAGCGGTTCTGACTCACTGGTGGCTGACACACAGGACCAGGTTTTGTGCTTTCTGGTGTTCTGAGTATGGCAGAGGGGCCAGAAATATCACCATTCTGAACCAGTGCCAAAGAGGTGTGGTCCCTAGGAAAGGCCCCTAGCAGAGGGGATTCTGTGGGGGGCAGCAATGGAGGTGAGCCATCTGCAGGGGGTGATGCTGGAGGTGTGGAGGAGCCCCCATTCTGCAACTGGGTGGAATCTTCTGCTGCAGGAGTATAGATAAAAGGGAAGGCTGGGTTGGCCAGATAGTTGGGAACAAAAGGCAGTTCTGACTCCTTCTTCAGCTGGGGGAGCTCGTCATCGTCATCAGCTTCTTCCACTTAAAAACAAAAATACAGAACATAAAACTTACCAAGAAAGCAGCATGGTGGAAGCTAGTGTCATTTGGGATGTGACAAATACTTTGATCAGGACTGCCTGCCTCTTCAGATCAGAAGAGAGAAGAACATTTCATTAGGTTTATGATTACCATTTTTACTGTCTTCATTTTTACAAATTAAAAAAGCACAACTCAACAATATTGGCATCCTTCAAACAATGGAATCACAACCTTGGCACAGCAATTAATGTAGAAACATAAGACCAGTTATCCGATCAGCATTAATGGGCCAGTAATACCACATCTTAAAGTATTTGCTTGACAAAAATCAAATGTTCCCCCCAAACAGACTCACCTCCCATGATCTTTCTGATCTCTCTCCTTGATGTTAACTGCACTGGCATTTCTCCTTTTGTAGTAAGGATCTCTCGGTCAGCCCCCGATTTTAGCAGGTAAGAGACCACCTGGCCATGGTTGCGTTTACATGCCCAGTGTAAACAGGTCCTGTCCCAAAGAAAGGAGAAAGAATGACTGAAAAAGAGAAAAGGTGATTCAAGGTTTCAAGTTATAAACATTACTAAATCAATATACATAAGCTTGTTAGACTTCAGCTAGAACTCAGAAGCCAAGCTAGCAATCTCAACTTTTCATTTCACAAAGATGATCAAAATATTAATACAGCTAAGCATGGTGGCATACACCTTTAATCCCAGCACTTGGGAGGCAGAGACAGTTAGATCTCTGTGAATCCAAGGCTAGCCTGGTCTACTGAGCCAGTTCCAGGACAGACAAAGCTACATAGTGAGACCCTCCATCTATAATAATAATAATAATAACAACAACAACAATTAATATTATTATTATTTAATATGTTTACGTTTTTAAAAGTTTCATTCCTGGGGCTGGAGCTGTAACTCAATGGTTGAATGCTTGCATAGAATACACAAGGCCTACCTGGGTTCAATCCTAGCACTGCAAAATAAATAGTTTTAATTTCTAGCCACAAGAAACATCAATCTATCCCAGGAGCTTCAGTTTCAAAGGTTCCAGAGACTGCTGACTTCAGTGACACTTCAGGATGCTACTCTATCAGTAACACCCATTAGATCTTGATCTCTTTAAAACAGATTTCTGTGTTACCCTTGTATTTTAGAAACTATGAAAAAATTTGATCTGCTCCAAGTACCAGCTAAAGAGTAAACATTGTTGCCAGGCATTAGTGGTGAATGCCTTTAATCCCAGCACTCGGGAGGCAGAGGCCAGCCTGGTCTACAGAGCTAGTTTCAGGATAGGCTCCAAAGCTACACAGAGAACCCTTCTAGAAAAACCAAAACAAAAAAGTAAACATTGTCAAGTTAATAATCAGCTCCTATCTGCAACTTCTGTCATGTCAGTCATTATGACAGCAAGGACTACTGCTTCAATCTTAGCTGCTTACTCCCTTTTCCTTGGTTTCTTTCCTACACACACCTACACACATACACGATTTTGAAATTTCCATTTTGCAAAATGCTGGCTTCTCTCAATTTCTCCAGAGGGCTACAAACATATCCTCATCTGCTCAAATGAAACACTGTACACATACTTTTTACTCTGGAGGCACTGGAAGCGAAGATAGCAACAAATTGGTTCAAGAACAGACCCATATAACAAACAGTCTCACTTAAGCAAAACTACTTATTATTTATATATTTAATATTGGATATATAGAGATCCAAAGAACTACTGTATATAAATTTAGTTAGCATCCCTCAAAAATGCCATCATAACAGAAGTTGCATCCTCAGGTGCAGATCGGAATGCATATTACAGAAGGAAAACACTTTCCCCCATTTTAAAACACCTCATTCACCAACTCTCTAATCTAACCCAGATAACCATCTTCAGAGCTTACCGCCAAACCCAGATAAGATAATGAACAGAGTAGAGGCTCAACAGAGAGGCCACTAACCTAAGAAGTACAACCATCTGTAAAGTTGACTTGATTTCAATTAAAAGCTGATTTGCCTTGTGCATCTTTGCATTCATGATTTAGAGAACGATAGCTTGAAGGACTGGGTGGGAGCCACCCATTTACCATCTATGTGCCTTTCATGTACTCTTTAACAAAAATGACTGTCCCAAGTGGGGAAAATGAGGGAAGAGGCTTTTAACATTATGTTGTTGTGCTGTAACCCAGGGCCTCACACATGCTAGGCAAGTGACTGACTACTGAGCTACAGCCTCAATAAAGTGAACAGAAGGAAGCATTTATCTGACATATACAGACGTGTGGGGTGTGTGTGTGTGTTGTGTGTGTATGCATGTGGGTGTGATATCAGACTGAACCAATGTCCTCATATATGTTAGGCCAATACTCCACCATTGAGCTATAATATCTCCAGCCCAAGTACTTATTCTTTATCACTTAATTAGTGGATCTAGGATAAAATGGACATTGCTTAGCATAGGGGGATCCAAAATTTCCTTGATTCTAAGCAAACTGCAGCTCAGAGTGTGTTTGTGTGGAGATGTCTGTGGTATAGGCTTGAAAAATGAATAATTACAGTAAGTGAGCACTCAAAAACGAATGGATCAGGCTGAGAAAATAGGCCCCCTTTTGGAAAGAACCTATTTGCTAGTAGTACATTACTCAGCCATGAAAAGAATGAAAGGTAAAACTGTGAGTGGAGCAGAGAGACTGAGCAAACCACCAGTCAGAATACTACCATGTAAAATGTGGTTAAGTGGACCCAGCATGTGGAAGCCACCCTGTACCCTCAGTGACCATCATTTGCAGTCTAGAGCTGAGTGGCTATGGGCAGCTATAACTTACAACCATTGCAGCCAGGCAGTATTTTCAACTTCTTCATAAACCATAATACTCATTTCTAAAGCCAAAAAGGACACATGACACTTGAATTACAATTGATGTGGAAACTCTATTTTTGAACTTCAACTATTTAAACTTTATATTTGCAGTCAGAATATCCCATTAGGGCTGGAAAGTATTTTAGACCAGAGGCTTTGAGCATCATTCATCAACTGGCCATCATTCATCACTGCTGAAGCTGTGGTTACTGAGCAACCAAGAATGAAAGCAGTCACCAGTCTACTTTCAATATTGAAAAGAGTCGGGTTTTTCCCCCCGCCAGGGGGATTTTTTTAATGTCTCCCAACATGTTGCCTAATAATAAGAAAATAACAATAGCTAACACAGACATACTACTTTACATATTGGACATTATTCTAAAGGCTGTACTCACTTAATCTCCAAAATATTACATGAGGAGCTGGGTACAGTGGGGGTAGAAGGTAACTTTTAGGACAAGAGTTAAGGCCAGCCCAGGCAACACAGCAAGACCAAGTCAAGAAAGAAAGAGGAAGAGGGGGAGGCTGGAGAGATGGCTCAGTGGACTTCTGGTGCTCTTCCAGAGGTCCTGAGTTCGGTTCCTAGCAACAATAAGGTGGCTCACAGCGATCTATAATGGCATCTGATGCCCTCTTTTGTCATGCAGGCATACCTCTGAGTAGAGCACCCATATACATAAAATACATAAATAAATAAATCCTTAAAAAGTTTTAAAGAGCTGGGCAGTGATGGTGCAGGTCTTTAATCCCAGCACTCGGGAGGCAGAGGCAGGTGGATCTCTGTGAGTTCGAGACCAGCCTGGTCTACAAGAGCTAGTTCTAGGCCAGCCTCCAAAGCCATAGAGAAACCCTGTCTTAAAAAAATAAAAACAAAAACAAAAAACAAAAAAAAAAATGAAAGAAAAACCTAATGTCATAACATTGTGAACATTCTTTACTCATTTTATAGTCAACAAAGCTAGGACAATTAGCAAATAAATAAGCAAAGTATGTAGAGTGCTAGGTATATTAAGTTTTAAGGGACAGAGTAAGAGATTAGGAAATGGCAGGGTTTGGGAACAGAGTTACACAAATTATTTATTAATTTACCTACTTATGTATTTATTGGTGTTCAAGACAGGGTTTCTCCATGTAGCCCTGGCTATCCTGAAACTCTGTAAACCAGGACAGCCTCAAACTCAGAAATCTGCCTGCCTAGGCTTCCTGAGTGCTGGGGTTAGAGGTGTGCACCACCACTGCCAAGCTGGAGTTGCATAATTAAACAGACAGCCAAGGAAAGACTTTATCATGAAGCTAAGCTCTGATTGAGAATAGAGAGCAAACCATGGGTATTTGAAGAAAAGCTTTCTAGACAAGAAAGAAGGCAAACCGCAAAAGTCTAAAATCGGGGAGTGTTGTTCCAGGAAAAGCAAGGAGGCCAGGGGAATGGAAAATGAACAAGGAAGCAAGTCTGAAGATATGGGGCCCAAAGGTCAGGTAAGGGAGTGAAAATTGGCTTCTTAGCTTAACATGAGCCACTAGAGGACTTTGAGTAAAGTAATCCAACTGTCCTAAGTCAGGGTCCCTCAGACCATGAATTAAAGTCATAATATAAGCAAGGAGACTATGTACTATCTAGCAAGATAAATGGTGGTGGCTTTATCTGGCAGTATGACAGCAGAGTTTGTGAGAGGTAGTCAGATCTCATCTGAACATGGAGGCAGCAGAACTGGCTGATCACATGTGGTCTGTGTGAAGGAAAAACAGGGCTGGGGACAGTGCCAGTATTCTGGCCTGGCCATGTAAGAGGCTGAGATGAGAAGGACTCAACTGAGATGAGAACTCAAAGCAGTAGGCCAAGAGCATAAGGCAGGACAGGGGGAATCTGGGAATCCATTCTTGGATTGAATTGATTGATGTGGAGGTGGAACTAAATCTACAGACAGCACATTACTTCAGACTCACCTGACATTCACTGTATGTCTAGCAAGGGCAGGCAGTGTTCTGATGGGGTCAGGTGCTGGATTAATTTTCAGCTCTACCAGTTACTTGACGGCTAATGGTAACATGAACTAACTAAATCCCAAATTTAGTAATTTAGGGGCATTTTGAAAATTGGGTGGTTTACTTAATTTTCTTAGGGTCTTAGTTTCTTCATCTTTAAGATGGAGAAAATAATAACTGATGTTCTCAACTAGCCATAAATGAGATATGTCAAGTGTTCAGAACCACATTTGTGTCACCAAGCATGTTCAAAAGACAGTAGGTATTTATTATCCTTTCTCTCAATAAATGCTAACAACCCTTCTGAAATAATTGGAAAATGAAGGGGCTTGGACAAGATCATACAGCTAAACAGGCAGAAACCTGCAGCAAGACCAGGCTCATTACTCTATAAAACACTGCTTCCTAGTGCCAAAACAGTAACTCACAGCTTTTAGATGCCATGGCAAGGCAAACAACTACACATTTTTTTCATGGCAAAGACTTCAAACAAGATAAAGTAGTGCCCACTGTCTCCTAGCTGTGGACAGCTATCAGGATAGTTTCTCTAGGGAGAGGAGGCAGGTGGATGTCTTAGAAGTAAGGAAAACTCAATTTTGATTTTGTTGTCATATTAACAATTGTGCAACCAGGACAAAACATTCTCTGGAATTCAAATGATCTCCAGTGCTCTTTCAGTTCCAAAATGTACGATTCGATTTGTGGGAGGGGGTGGGGGTGTTTAAACTTATTTTAACTTTGAACTAGCAAAATTGGCTAGTTAAACATTACCTGGATTAAACAAAAAAATTGAAATGGAGATGCAAAAAAGGGCAGATTAATACTCCATTCCGTAACTTGAAACCAAAGACTTAATCACATCTTAGCATGAGATTCGTTGTTTAATTGGGACGGGGCAACCTGCAAGCAAACATCTAAAGCTTTGGGTGAAATCCTGTTGGAAATTATACTAAGAAAACAAAACACTCTACAGGGCAAACAAATGAGTCTCCTCTCAACAGGAAGCTATAGGCAACAGCAAATCACGGTTGCATCGAAACAACAGAGGCAAGTGGTGGGGTTTTTGTAGTTGTTTCTTTTCTCCTGGTCTTGGCTAAGACTGGCATTTGCACGTTTGCTTATGCTTTCATCTCTGCACGAAGTGTTCTTCAGAAGCGCCCATGGCAAAATAATTCAAGCCTGATGAAATCCAGAGCAGAGTCGCTGAAAACCAAAGCCTCTGGTATCACCTTTCAGGCCAAGATAGCCACCCCGGGGATGGCGTGGGCTCTAGCGTGCTGGAGGGCGCTGGCCGCGGTGGACCACACAGGGTTTGGTTTGGGGAGGATGCGCTCCTGACTGCTGGGGACAATGAGGCACAACCTGCGAGGCATGAGGTACCAGCCCTCACCTTAGCCTGCGTCCTAGGTCAAGGCTGACTGCTCCACGCTCGGAGCTAAGGACCCTGAACCCTAGGCCTCCCCCGCTCGCCACTTACCAGCCGTTGACCTCATTTTGGGAGTTCACATCCACCCCGCTCTCCACCAGTTTCTGCACCTCCCGAATGTCCCCCAAGGCCGCTGCCTCCCGCAGCCTCTCCTGCTGCTCCTTCTGCTCTAGGAGGGCGTTCATCTTCCCCAGGGTCCCGGGCCCCCGGCCGCCCCGCCCCGAGCCCGTCAGCGCCGCCGCCGCCTCCGCGGCCCGCTCCCGGCCATGGGGAGGGAGCGTCGGGTTCGGCCGCCCCACTCGCGCCTCCTCCCGCGCCCGGCCCGGGCCTGTGCTCCCGCCTGCCCTCTGGCTGTTCGCGGCCCGCAGGCCCAGGCCTCCTCCCACGCCGCGCCTCCTAAGGCCGGCTCCGGGGGACCCTATTTAGTGTGACAACACTAACCCAGATACTTTTCGTTCCGACCCGGCGGCCCCTCAGCCCCAGCCGGCTGTTTATGTAACCACTGCCACTGCACTGGATTATCTGCTGTGATTCATTGGCTATTTTTAGACCTCCCAGCTTCCAGCGAGGAGGACCGACACAGGAATAGTTGGGGGGCGGAGGGCCCCGGCATGTTTAGAGCCAGAAAAGCCTTATCCTCTGGAGCAGGCTGTTTAGTAGGCATTAAAAATAATTGGTGGGTTTCCACTCCCGCCCCCAAGTTTGATTAGTTCGTTTTCTTTATCTGAGCCAATTTTTGCCCAGCAGGACGGGAAATGGGCTGAAAACGATCCTACTATAATATGCCCATTATTTGCAAAGATAGACGACATATTCTTTCTTATTTTTGTCGGTGCTTGGGACCATTCAGCTAGAATATTTATTTCAGTTGTTACTGTTTTACCCCTTATCGTTTTTAGACAGAAATTCTTCTAACTTGGCTTTCAGGAAAAATAACATCATTTACGGTTTATAAAATGCAATTCAGTCTATCTTATAATTACTCTGTAAGTCACGGTAAGGAAAGGGGAGGGGAGCGCTTAGTCATCCAGGCCCTGATCCTAGGTGCTGAGGGTAGAGTTATGTGTGTTCATAAACAGCAGTGTGCGGTATTCCTTGCCTAAAGAAGCTAATGGGGGCCTCGGTTGGCACTGTTCTTCTACCCTGTGGGAGACGCAGAAAATATTGTTTTGCTGAGCCCAGGTGTCTTGGAGAGATCCCTGACATGGCACTGGCTAGAACTTTGCAGATGGAGTGAGAAAATTAGGAAAGTGCCCTGGGGAGGCTGAAAGGAGGCCCGGAACAAAGAGGAGATGAAATAGGAAGGGATAAATTTAGGTACAGAGTCTTTATTTCCATTTCTCGGGGCTGCCAAGGGCTCACAGCATGCATTTGTCTTGTTACTGTTTAAAAAAAGCAATATTTGTTTACTGTGATACAGTAATTCACAGAGTACACACTGCATACCAGGAGTGATGGATACCAACTGACTAAGCACTTAAATTGACCCCAGTGGCAAATTGGAACTCCGCTTGAGCTTATTTTTTCATTTCCCCAACTTAAAATTTAATTCTTAGATGCAGCATGGTATTCCATCTGATGCTGTTGTGAACGGTATTGGAACTCAGTCTTTTAACACAATCTGAGCAACATGGAAAGAAATAGTAGTCTTTAAAAGAGACCATTTAGAAAGATAGTAGTGGGCTGGTGGTATAGTGTAGTGGTAGAGTACTAACCCAAGCAAAGCCCAGGGTTCCATCCTCAGAACTGGAAAAACAAAAACAAGGACTACAACAACAACAACAAAAACCCAATCAACAGCTGCAGCAATAACAAATATTAGACGGTGACTGCACTCCAAAATTTGTTTTTTAAAAGTAAGAATTTGTTAAATTTTCTTGCCTTAAAAGAATTATATTGGGAGGGGGATTTTAAAAAGGATTATATTAGGGGCTGGAGAGATAACTCAGCTGTTGAGTGCGCATGTTGCCCTTGAAGAGAGAGGCTCAGGATTCGATTCTCAACACCAACTTGGTGGCTCACAACCATATAGAACTCTGGTTCCCAGGAGAACAGATGCCTTCTTCTGGCTTCTTCAGGTCTAAGCATGCACATGTACACACACATACATGTTGGCAAAACATACATATACATAAAGTAAAACAAAACAAATTTTAAAAAGAAAGAAAGAGGCAACTGAATGTGAGCCAGGAGAGCAAGACAGTAGACAGCATTCCTCCTCAACCTTCTCATCGGCCCTGCTTGACTTCTTTCTTCCCTGGCTGCCCTTTATTATTGACTGCCTGTAAGCTGGACGATTAAATAAACCTTTCTTACCCAAGTTGCTTTTGGTCGTGTTGTTTATCACAGCAAAAGAGCAAACTATAACAGGATACAACTCAGGTCCTCATGCATTCTTGGCAAGCACTTTACTGACAGCCATCTCTTTAGCTCTGAATGCACTTTTTAATCTATTGACTTGAATTCTCCAAAGACCTACATTTATTTTTCTTTTTATCTGTTTTGATGCTGAGGATCCAGCCCAGGGCTTTACTGTGCCAGGGCAGCTGTCTGCCATGGAGCTGTACTGCTGGTCCAGGAAGCTGTTTTTCTGTTTTGTTTTGTCTGTTTGTTTTTTCTGAATTTCATTTAAGTAGAGTGGTCCAGATAAGGGGGCAGGCATGGACTTTAAATTCAGAAAGGAGAACTGCCCTGGAGGTTGATTGGGATTTGGCACTCATCAGCAAATGGTGCTAGCTGATGTTACAGGAACAGAAAAGATAACTACAAGAGAGTTGGTGAGTGAGAGAAGACAGCCAGACAGAACTCCAAAGAACACTCAAAATTCTAATGATGGAAAGGAGAGAACGTCTTGAAGGGGCTGAACGATAAATAACAGATCCACAGATCCAGTAGGAGGGAAAGCAAAATGAATGGGAAGGGTGAGTGACAGTGACTCACAGGATCAAGAGTAGCAGGATGATAACAAAGGAGGGTTGAAAAGGTGTGTGTTTAACCTTAACATTGTTTGGGACCTTGGAAAGTTACAGTGATGGAGGTTTTTCTCATTCCACCCCTGCTGGCCTTGAACTATCTGGCCAAGGATGACCTTGAATTTCTGGCCTTCCTGACTCAACTTTCCAAGTGTTACGTTTTAGCCTTTTTGGGTTACTTCCCTCTAATTTTTTAATCCATTCCAGTCTAGCTTCCATTTTATAAGGCTCAAAGAAAAGAATGCCTTAAAAAGTTCCTCTCTTACCACCTTCAACAGTTTTCTTCAATGTTACCAATTTTGTGGTTTAAAAACTGTTTTCTTTGTTTGTTTTCCTTAACTGTAAACTCCTCAGATTTCTGGTTGGGGAAGGTGTATACCTGATATGCTAACACTGGGAGGCTGAGGTAAGAGGATCAGTCTTGAGTCTGGGTCTCTTTTTTCCACTTTGCTTGGTTGGAGCTTTGTCACATTCCTCAGTTCCACAGGGAGGGGCCTCTCATACCCTTGAACTATAAAAAGGTTCAATGCATCTTACTAATAAACTAAAAACCTGTTGGGTCTCTGTCTCTGAATATTTGATCACATTGTGTGAAAATGTCTCTGTTTTACCTCACTGTGTTTTTGTTTGTTTTGGAGACAGAGTTTCTCTGTGTAGCTTTGTACACCAGGCTGGCCTCTGCCTCCCAAGCGTCCGATCGCTGGGATTAAAGGCTAGTACCACCACCACCCAGGTGGGCCACCCACCCATTTTTTTTTTTTTTTTCTATTCTTAAATTGTTTTACACAAGGACTCACAGGGTAGCCCATGCTGACTTGGAACAATTCTCCTGACTCAGCCTCTCAAGTGTGGGATTACAGGCTTGTTCCATTGCTCCCAGCTGAATAGTTTTGCATTATGCAGCCCTGGTTGGCCTCAAACTTGATACATGACCCAGGCTGGACTTGAACACACAAGAGATCAACCTGCCTCTGGATTGCTGGGATTTAAGGCGTGGATTGCTGGGATTTAAGGCGTGCATTGCTAAGCACCCCCGACTTGACCTTGATTTCTCTATGTCCTGGAACTCTTTGTAGACTAAGGTGACCTCAACTCTCAGAGATCCATTTCTTTTTTGCCTCCTAAATGATGGGATTAAAGGCATGCGCCGCGACACGTGGTCAAAGCACACTTTCTTTTTCTTAAAAAAAAAAAAAAAGTGCATGATTCCTGAGGAACGGACTCTAGAGGTTGACCTCTGACCCCCTTTTACGTGCATCTGAACACACAATTAACACTCACACAACACGAAGGGAAATAAACTTCTGCACGGGAGGTATCAATTTCCACAGCACACATTGCCCATCCTCTGGTTTCCCACCCTAAAAAACTCAAAAGAAAAAAGGTAGAGGAGTTGGGGATTTAGCTCAGTGGTAGAGCGTTAAATGTAAGGTCCTGGGTTAGGACCCCAGCTTCGAATGGGTGTGGAGGCGCTGCCAGAGAAATAAAGCCAGGTAAAGGAGGAAGTAACTATAGCGACTAGGAAAATGGAGTCTGAGCACGAACGCAGCTTGCTCATCTTGTGTCTCTCGCTGGAAGATGGCACCCTGAGCACCACGTGGACAAACGGACATTTTCTCCATTTCGGGGCAGTGTCAAAACCTCCAGGGCTAGATTGATGTTTCTTGAAGTTTAAAAAAAAAAAAAAAAGCCAACGGCCGAGGCGGTTAGGGAGTCAAAAGTTCCGCGGTCACAGACGCGGTGGGGCGGAGTTAGCGGCTGGCCCCGGCTTGCCCTCGGCCCGGCCCGGAGGTCCCGCCCCCTCGCCAGCGAAGCCGCGCCGCCATCGCTGCCCGGGCCTAGGCGTGTCTCCGTGGGCGCACGGCATGCTGGGAAGGTTCCCGGGCGGCGGCCATTTTGTCTTATCGGCTCCTCTTTGGAAGAGGCTTTTTCGGCTTGAGAGTGGGCCGGGGGGTTTGGTGTCCGAGTGGCTGGTGGTTTTCGTCGCTGGGTGCTAGGGCTGGTGGGAGCAGCCGCCCAGAGGAAGCACCATGATTTCGGCCGCGCAATTGTTGGATGAGTTAATGGGCCGGGACCGAAACCTCGCCCCGGACGAGAAGCGCAGCAACGTGCGGTGGGACCACGAGAGCGTAAGTCCCGTGGGCCTTGGGCCTGTGCCCAAGCGCCTGGGGGAGGGGAGGGGAGTGCAGGGGGGGAAGGAGGGAGGGAGAGGGGGAGGGCGCGGGCCGGGCCACCGTGGGCCTCCGCACGATTTGGGGTCCCGGTCGCGCCGACTGAAGCACCTGACCGCGGACGGAGGTAGGAGGGTGGCCGAGGAGGGAGGGTTCGGCGCCAACCCCGGGGATAGGGTGATTTGTTGTTCTGTGGAGGAAGTCCGGGGTTGCGCTTAAAAGAAGCACCTTGGCGAGGCCGGGAAACGCGGGAAAAAAGGAAGGAAGGGCTCGT